CGGCCCTATGTTCTGCATTTTCTAACAATACTTGCTCGACCCCTTTGAGCTGTTATCACTTTCCATGTTATCCGATCAATGTTTTCGTTCCCTTTTTTTAAACTTGACTTCTTCTATATAATTTTTAAAATACTGGTTTGTTCTTGGTTTTTCTGCGTGGCTATTCCCCTGTGTTTTGGCGGTTACCCCTTGACGGATGTTCTAAGGTTTTGTGTGTGACCTAACGTTGGGGTACCGGCTGTCTAGACTTGCAACCTTGCCTACCAATCACGAATATCGCTTCTCGTTTTTGTTATAAAACTGCTGTGTCGACTTGAAATCGTAAAGTGATTCTCACCCTACTTGGTTAGGATAACTGACTTTTAATTTTAGAATGTTTGACCTTTCGCTTTTGCGCGCTGATAACTTACTACGTCAACCCACCCTGCCTATCTCGAGATAGCACTTGTTCATTTAAACAAGAGTGCGCGACAAACTACCGACTTCATCGAAATCTATCGCAATGGATCGTTTTCTGTCGTAGGCAATAATTTTCGGAATCAATTTCCCACCACATAGCCTGCTTAAGAGGAAGCAAAAATGCATACTTTATCACCACTTTGTTGCGCCTGCACGCGCCCCTACTACGTAAAGCAGTGGAAGGAAGTTATAAATGCAAAGAGGAATCTCTGGTGATTGCAAGAGCAGAGGGTGGTGAGGAGGAACGACCACGAGAGATCCTGAAAACCGTTTTTTTCACCGAGCCATAAATGGACGTCGGAGATATGGACGAATGTACGTCGCTTACAGCATCTTCATTTACGACCAGAGCCAGCATTACTGTTATATCGCCACGAACTCCGCCTAAACGACCGAAAATAAGTAGCTGAATTTGTGCAAACTGTTCTGTAACAATGCTCGCTGATGTCACAGGTCTTCAAAGAAATGGTCTTATTAATATCAAAAACAAAAACGACAATTTTACAAGAGACTTCATGGCCCTACCGAAGCATAAAGCCAAAGACCGCAATAACTTTTCGCAAACCTAATATCGCTATCACATTAAAGCAACGCACATGATCTGATCTACCGTTTGAAAGGCTTGACATGTAATAAAAAAATCTTATGCATGGTGGAAGAAGGAACATAAAGAGGAAGAGGTTTTGAATTATGAGTAGCTCGGGCCATAGGAAGAGTGCACGACTTGAGGAAATGTTCATCATGTGCTGACTTGTACCTGCAATATTAAGCCCGTATTGTCGTGCCTCATTGGCGAAAGGAGAGAGGAAGTTAGGATTGTCCGCGGCGTCGCGTGCGCACGAGACAAGCCGATAGGCGCACCAGTCTAAGAGCTCATCCGACGCCAAACTCAGGTCACAATTCTAATGTCAACAAAAGGTACAGTAATCACAGGGAACGGGTGGTCTCATGGAGTCAGCTCAACATTTAAACCAGTAATCTCCCAAAGCAGACATCGAGAATAAATCAATGAGATGGAAACAGTGATTTTCATACACTCAAGCCATTTCTTCTGTAATTTGAAAGCAAATGCCTCACTAAAATGCGACACGTGAAAGGATAGTAAGTTTGTTCTGTTTGTCTATTTGCGAAAGACTGCTATCGAACAATTTTTCATTAATGAAGAGCAAAACCGAAGGCGTCAGTGTAAAGCGGCATAAGTGAAAACTCGATAGTCGACAGTGAAGTTCAGGTTACTGAGTAACCCACACTCAATCCTGACCACCAGGACTTAAAATTAATCCAATTCTCTTTGGTTTTGGCTATGCGGACCGGACTTGTAAAATAGATCTTCCGTGGTTATTCCATTTATGTAGGTTAAGATAGACGTGTGAATATTGGTAGAGCAATTATGCAGTAGTATAGATAAAATAGGAGAAAAATTGCGTAGGAACATTTTATTCAAACTGGAAAGGCAAAAACCGTATGATGTAATTCGAAGTATCAAATGACAAGCTGCTCAAAGACAGAATTAAACCAAGCCAGGAATATTAAAAGTTGGTTAAACAAAATATTCTTGAAAGGAAGTGATATGGAAGTGTCATTTACTTGAAGGGGTGCAAGCTCCTGCAGGATCATTTGGTCTGTGAGGTTATCAAAGAGACCATCGGTACCAACAACGACCAAATCACTCGGTTCCAGACCAAAGCTGTCTTGAATCGCCTGTTCGGGGCTGGAGATTTTATCAAATGACAGCTAGTAGTTATACTATGAAATAACGCATCCAAGTAATGAAATTCGCGTATAAAACCAAAGGAAAGTACACAGCCAAGATAACCTGTAGCAGACACACTAAAATGTGGCACTTCATTATTCTCAGAAATCAAGAGTTGCATCACTGCCAGCACCGATTCGTGTTTCTATGACTAAATCACAGTGTCAAAGAAAATCACCGCCTATAAAACAACAACAACACACACAATACGTACGAATCACGATAGAATTGACCATGCTCGTTTGGAGGGAGGCAGGCTACCTGGAAAGGGGTGTTGAGTGTGTGCTTTTGGTTTGCAGAACGCTTGACCACTATGCCATGACGAATAACAAGATAACCTGAATCTCCAAGACACACAGTGTGTAGGCGACCATCGCTTCGACACAGTGAAATCACGCAGAATGTTGCGCTTCCTAATCAAAGACATTGAAGTTTGGATATTATGATGATGTTTAGAGGATATATGAGTCAGCACATACCCAAGATGGGTGTCTTTGCATCCAAAACTTCATGATAACTTTCAGTTACAAGGAGCATTGGCTCACTCGGCTTGAATCGGCCTGATTGGGCCAGTCTTTGGCATGTAGACATAAAAGTCATGGAGAACTCGCCAGGATCAACACCGTACGACCTCCAACCACCCACACCATCAGCAACTCCTAAATACGTTTGAGCAAAAGGATAATAGACAAGGATGACGTCAATACAGCCGCAGTAGAACTAGTTATATACCTAGTACACAAGACGCGTCTGTAATGGATATAAAGTATGCATCGTCACCGTACGCTCGTAGAGGCCTGCGTTGTGTCTCAAATTGTGTATGCTTGTTATCAAAACCCGACACAGATGTCACGAAAGAAAAGAAAGAGCGACGTGTATTTTTGTCGGACTTCTCATGACGACCACCAATGGTAGCTATATTTCGAAGAAAACTTCTACCTTTCGAAATGATCCGATACATCAGTCGATCCACCCAACAGACATTTCAATGATGATTGGTCGACATTGAGTTTCATATTCACCGGATCTTACACGGATTACTTAAACAATTTGCTACTATGGCTATAGCACAAGCGGTATATCGTAGCGTTATTAAGAGCCGCATAAGTAAACAAAAAATTTTTATGTAAATCCGTATATGTCTTACGGCATTTAAATCTACACAACTTGCCCTGTGATGGCGACACAAGATCTACAACCGTCCATTAATTTTAAAACATCTTTTTTACTTTGCAACTTATTGGTGATGCACCTGAGGATAGATAGAAAGTCTTAGCCAGCACGTTAATGTCACATAGGCAGGAAGTCCATGTCACCGATTTGTAATTCCCGCTGTGAGTGAGGAAATGGAAATGATTAAAACAGAATTAAGATGTGCTGAATCACTAATACTAATAATCTCCATTTTGAAATGCTATGCTATGACGACAAAATGTTTTATGTGTTATTACCAATGCTTCTCTGAATTTTATTCGCCTTCAATTTTCCTTACATAGATGGCGCATAATGCCGTCTCATGTTTTTCTTTTCAAAATCTATAATTTTTACAACAGGATTTATTACCAATGCAAGTGAGCCGAATACCTGGGCTTCACATTTATCTAAATATGTTCCTTTGCGGATAGCTGGTTTATAATCTCGATCATGTAACCTAGAGGTCTACTTATTTTATGGGGAGACCGAAATCGTCCCCTTCAATATTTTATTGATCTGCCTATTTCTAGCATGTGCACAAAGTGATTTTTGGCGTTTTAGTCAAATCTTGGTGCGAAGTAGAAGTATAGTTACCAAAGACTTCACTTTGTTTGATGATTCCATACATAGGGATGATTGCATGCTTTTTAAGGAGAGAGGATGGAGAAAAGGAAGACTGGGCAATTCATATCGGTTGTTTAAATTGTCCATCTAAGGGAGAGTCGAAACTCCATTTCAAACGCTGTGATTAAGAAGCTGCTAATGTGGGTACCTGATTAACAGTGCTCGTATCTGGTTTTAGCCTTTTACCGTTTTTATTGATGCCACATAAGCCTTTTTTGAACAACACTTTCCTATGCGACAGAAGATTTGGAGTGAAGATTAAGTAACACTGAAGCTTATTCTTTGGCTTTACCTAAATTCCAATCAACAAAGAGAGTAGAACGGAACTAACATTTTGTTTTCATGGTGGATTGGATTGCAGAAAATGTTGACCATACTTGTAGTTTCAAACATCAAGATTTGACTTAGTGCACATATTTTAGGCAGAAAAGAAAGAGGTAAGCTTTGACATAGCCCAAAAGCTGTTATACTAAGCAGAAGCAATCTGGCAACGACGGGGACCGCCATTGATTGTGGTGTCCTCTTTTATGCGTAACGGTTCCGGCACCGTCCTCGGTAGACCATCTCCGCCAGCCAATACAACGTACTCAGTGCTGCAAGATTGCTCCCAGAAATCATCTGTTGCACCTACTAATCCCTGTGGCTGCGATAAAAGGCTTGACATCAGCGTCACTAAATCCACTGAGAGGATTTAAACGGTGTGCAGTTTCGCAGCCGTGTTGAGATCACTACTCACCATATGTGTTGAAAGGTAGACGCAAAACGGATCTAATGCAGTCTTCCTGTTGATGTGATTTTGCACGATATCATACCGCTCATTAAGGTGAACTTGGAAACGAAATTTTACTAGGTGTTTAAAGACCGGTGTAACTTCAGTTGTTAATAGCTTGCCTGTTGAACACGGGCAAGGTAGATGGCAAGCAAAAATGTTAGGAAAGGAAAAGGACTTGAAGTATTCAGGTTTACTCTCTGCTGCAGCTAATGTACCGCTTACAATCTTCTGAATAGGTACTGGAAGAAATACTACTTCTTTGCTGAGCGCTTTTAATTAGACAGAAAGGAAAGGTATGGGATGTTAGCAGAGTTCGAAGGTCAGACCGTCTGATGGAATCATTATGAATTTCACCCGTGTAGGGCTTCAAACAAAGTAGTTCAATAATTCTCACCGAAAGTATCATCGGTGGTACATCTCAGTCGATTGATTATCGGAACTTATAATTTCCTAAGGGCAATACAGCAGCTGATGCGTCATTGTATTGCACCAATCATCGCCGAGAATGCAACTCTCAAAGCAACTTTCAGAAGACTTTTTTATACTACTCATACGGTCTTTAGATCACGCAAAGCAGAGGGAGTTCGATCTGTCGCAACGAAAACTGAAGTTCCCGAAGACCACTTTGTGGCCAGTAAGAGACACAGCACTTGAGCTATATACATGTGTTCAAACAAAAAAGAAGGAAATCGAAGTTTCGGCATGGCTCTGAGGTCAGCCTACATGGTAAAGCCAATATGACCACTCAAGTGACCGCCACTGGTATCGGCAGTCAAATAAACAAGATATTACAGAAATACTCTTGTAAATGTAATAATTATCCCTGTTGCTTTGTCCGATAACAAAAAGTCCACCTTTTCAATGCAAAAAAGTTTTAGCTTTCCTTACTACCACCATCACCAGACGTAACAGTTAAGTTTGCCGACCAAACAGACACCTCACTGTTTGGTGCTGATGTGCTTTATGTCTGGAGTAATGACTAAATTTCAATGACTTCGAATTTTACGCCACCAATGTAAGTCCATTCTTGTTGTGGTGCTTAAATATTTGGACATTGCAAATCTTCGATAGCACAAATCTTTTAAAAATTCGGTGGGCAGACTTTTATCTCGTATGTGTAGTGACGAGATGCTCGATTATTTTGGCATTTCAAACTTTTTGTAGAGTCTCCATTTTTAACAAGCAAAAATTGAACATCAATGCAGGCAGGAGTCGCTAATATTTATTTTTCTCTTGCCTCATTCGAAGCGTACGCGGCAAAGAAGCATAAAAAACCGTGGGCGTAGATGGCAAGATGCAATATGGAAGAACAGAGGTGTGATACCACTCGTTGTATTTAGGGTCAAATTTAGGGCATACTTGATCGGCTTGACCTCTAAGTCAGATTGATTAATTAAAGCAAGCCATGCATCGAAAATATACCGCGAGTAGTGCTGACTGATAATGACTGAGGCAGAAACAGATGACTTGGGACATGTTTGGTACTCAATCGCTGCTACACCTAGGCCATGGCTGATCTGATGGGTGTAAGAAATGGAAATGTAGCACACTAATTTTAGCTTAAAGATACAATTTAGTGAAGGCGAACAATTTTAGATGATGTTTGCCATCATCATCATCTGCCCCGATTTGCGATTTGGGTCCATAGTGCTTAGCGTAAACTTTTCTGATTCCATTCAGCCAAAAATGCAGTGTACGAACTTACTGGTGTACTTTAGTTACTTTGTCGTAAGATGGTGAAACCGCTTCTCTGTAGCCGAAGAACTAACAAAAGACTCAATAATTGGTGTGTTTTATGGCACAACTCGGCTATTTCATGGCGTTCCTAGTAAAACCCATACCGTAAGTGCTCTTAAATTGTTACAAGCAGACATATCAAAGTGAATAAAATGACGGTTATAAATAATTTAATATCGACTATCTATGATTATGCGAAACATTGTTGACTGTTTTTGTAAAAAATATTGTAAGCCCTACTGGAAATTTGCACCACTGGGTAATATTTTAATTGCTGCCACATTGCCTGTAGTTATGCTTTTCTTCTTGAAATTGCAAGGTCAAGCACGCAATTTTCACATGTTTTCTCCTCATAAATTTCAATTTTGCAGTACCAAAAAAGTTCATACTTAGTCGCACGCTAACAAAATGCGCTTACTTTTGGACTTCATAGATCCATCAAATGATTGTTGCCACTTCCACTTTATAAAACGTAAGGAACTGTCATTAAACTTACGAAAAACGGACACGCTCTTCGAAACAACAGAAAGAAACAGAAGAAGCAAGGCGGACCGACGAGTTTGCTTGTGCAATTAGACGATATGGAGACATCGGAAAGCCGCAATGGAGGTAAGGTGCAAGAAGTTTAAGGGACTAGCAGAGGATAAATAAACCACAGCAGACCTTGTCGGTCACTTTAATGAGGAGGCGTTGAGATTCGCCCAGGCATTTGAAGTCTTCGGGATCGGTTAGCAGCGTTTCATTGTGAGCTGATTTTAACTTCTGCTCTGCAAAATGATTCTGAGGATGGCTTGGTTATTCCAAGGGACATGGTGGTGCTCCCTTAGTTTAGCCACGTAACCTGATTTACTGAAGGCTTCGTGGATAGTTTTAGTCGTGGTGCATTGCATCCTCAATGGAGGAGCTCTTTTTGCTACAAATCATGTAACTCTGTTGGTATACCCTTTTTTAAATAAATTAAAGTTATTGCTGTTGAAAGTTACCGTAAGTAAGGGATTGATAAAATATTATTGATATACAAAGCCTATAAAATAAACCATCACGTTTTAATTCTTTGTAATGCTCATCACTTGTTAAATATATAGTGGCATATCCCAGCACCGATAGATGAAGAATTTAACCCTTTGGCGTGAATGGTTGGCTTATCGCGTCGCTCGAAATGGGCTGATTCAATAGCTCAGCCGTTTGCATTGAAAGCGTAAACAATTGTAAGGGAGAAGAAATTATCACAAATGTGGAGAAACACTTCAAATTTGTCAAATCATGTTACGTTGTGGTTTGAAATTAATTACAGTCCGCGAAGACAAAAATTGCAGACCAGATGCAGGCATCACTGCCTCATTAAGAGTGTGGTTTTCATTTCGCTAAGCACCGCGTGTAGATGAATACGAGACTGTGGGCATTCACGATGCGTGGTGCGTGTGCAAGCTCAATTAGGGTGGCTTTTGCGTGTCAAATCGACGTTGATTCTTCTCGAATCCTCCCTCACCCCCTTCCGCCCTTCCTTTCCCAGCAGCCCTCCACTAAACTCAAGTACTAGCTAGTGGTTGCAAAATAATTAATGGGAGGGGGCGAGTCAGAAAACTCCCCACTCCCTTACCTGTTTAGAGCGGCAGTGTTTGTATGGAGAGTAGTTGGGGCGATTAATTGCCTACTCGGTACTTGCTGATACGTGAGCGGCGTGCACACAAACATGCAATCGCTAGAGGGAAAATTTCGTTAAAAAACATTTAAATCTTCGTTGAAGTGCTCAAATACTCTATTTGTCTGTTTCAAGCTCGCAAAAATAACTTAGAATAAAAAGCAGAGCAAAACCCATATCGAAATCGGTTTTGGTGCATTGCCTGGGCAAGCTAATTGTGACATTTAGTATGAGGCCTTTTTACTGCAAAAACAAAGACCGCGAATTATTTTTAACCATTTAGCAGCTGAAAGTAACTGTTATGACGATTATTAATAGCTAAACGCTAAAATCACTCGAGTCACTTTAGTGTATAAGCATTTTCATCACTCTCCACACATCAAAATAGCAGTCATTCTCTACTTTTTATTTGTCTGTATTTCTTTTTGCAACAGCAACGTCACAAGTGACTATCAACCGGATGTGCTCAAAAGGCGGTAAGGAGTAAAACAACAGTGCTCGTGTGCACTGCAAGTGATTTCGGTTGATGTAAACACAAAAGGGTACGTTTGGACCACAGGCATTTCCTTCCCCTTACGCCAACTCTCGACTCACTTCGCCCACCGTTGAATGGCGAACAAACAAGAAGCACTGCCTATGCTCCTTGAGTCTCAATACGACAACCTTTTTTAATGCGACCTTATAAACTGTGATATGCTTTCATTTTTTTCGGCCCGAAGAGCACCCTTATTGAGCTGCCAGTTACACTTTGCTCTTAATTGAGCTTCATGCTAATTTGATGATTGACAAAAAGGTATGCCAAAATAAACAATAAGTTGTTCGGTACAATAAGCGGTTTCTGTTTATCGCCAACCACCTACACCTTTAGTAATGCCAAACACATCCCAGTAGGGATAGACAGATATTTTCAATTCATTCATTCTTAAAATGCTGAATGTGATCGAGAGGTCGTCGAATGTCTTGAATGCCAACTGTTGTCACACTAATTTTCCCTCGCTCTTAGCACTCCACCAACGTGTTCCTCTTTTTTGTTCACGAGACATTCACACTTTGTTTCACATGATACTGAAGACATTAACTGTTTCTTTAGTCCATGAATAAACATAATTATTGTTGATCACAAGTTGGTGTATAGAAGCAGGTGGATGAGCTGAGTTTCATCTGTTACCCGAGTATGGAAGTTCCATGATTATTTTCTACTTTCATTGGGGAAGAGAAGGGTTTGGTTGTACATATCAACTGTCTTTGTCCTTCTGGTGTGGAGTTCATGCGAGAAATGAGGATGTTTGGGGACAAGAGATCCGTTCAAAAAGTTTGAATACGGAAAGAGCACTTGATGGGACGGTGTTTCCATGCCATCAAGCAGAGTTGCACTGTGAGTACAATTGTTCTCTTCACGAACTTGTGGCTCCACCATGTTTGGAGTAGGATAGAAAACTATAACATAGAGGTAGTAAGCTGTAGTTGTCCTAACTAGCGAGAGGGAGAACTTATTTCAGCACACGTTTCAGGAATTTTCGAAGGTCTACATACACGCGACAATTCAGCTCCCTACTTTTTGGCGAAGTAAGGACTCAGTAAGGGACTAGAGGAGTTTCAAAGAGTTTGCTCATGGCTTTTCGAAACTGCGGAGCACCAATGCGGAGAAATAAGATGTGAGGTCTTAAGACTATGTTCTCTTACCTCTGAACAGCAAATAAGTTGCACAACTTCTACATAAAACATCACTTCGCTTCTATGCTTGGTTGTAAGGTACTTCATGCATGTAAACAGTTCACGTCAAATGGCCACAATGATTTGTGCATGCTTTGGTGTAGCCATTTGAAATAACTTGTAAATTATAGACTTCTTAAAAGACGTAGTCGTTCATTTTTATCCGCATGAATAATAATGCCAAGGTGGATGTGCATAAGCCTGCTAGTACAATTTCTTTGGCACTCGCTTTTGCACTTTTTCTGCTACTCTGACAACTTAGAGGGTGTTGGTTAGGTCTAGCATGAGCCATGCCGTTCCGTCAAATCCTTGGATGCTTCTTCCAACGTTGAACGCCAGACACTCACATGAGGAAAAATGTGCGATAGAGGTGACTCTGCAAAGTCGTTTTGCTTATAGAGGCAATGTTTTTTTCGCAAAAATAGAAGTCTACAGTAAAGTCGAAAACGAATTAAGAGTGTTGGTTTTTTATAGATACGAGCACATTCAGCACGGATTTGACACAATTTGCTTTATCTATCCATGTCTGGTGCCAAATCTCAACAAACGCCAACACTTGAAGTCAATTTTACTGTACACCACCAAACTGCTTGCAATATTATCACCATAACTTACAAAATAAATGTTCCGAATCGTATTAGAATAATTTAAATTCTACAACTAGTTGTTTGGTGTTAATCTTGCACTAGGTGAAACCTTACCACTTTTCCTGCCAAAGCTGTTAAGCGCACCTTGGTCAGTCGTGGTTTCCCCAGCTATCAGGTCGGTTAGTGCAGAGTATCCCTGAAATAGTAACACTGTGAAACTTTCTCGAAAGGAACACTATCCAATCCAAAGGGGAGGTGGGAGGGCGGGGGGCTTCGTAAAACACCCACTTGCAATGCTTTTCAAAATAAACACGTCGATTTGAAGTCGTCTAATTTTTCATTGGACGTGCGTGGAGACAGGAAGGAGTCTTTATGAGAACTATTACCAGTTGTAATTCCCTAATGACGAAGTAAAGCAGAGCGTTAAATGAATGTCATAAGGAAAAGCTTGGTATTTGCCAATCATCAAATATCTTGATCAGGTGGTTAATAAAGCCTTCTGCCTCGGCTGAATAAAACTGCCTGAATACCCGACGCTATTGGTTTTAAGGCAAGTACTGATCACAAATGTCAGTCACAAACGCACTTTTCTCACGCTTGGCAATGTCGGGACCAGGGTGGCACTGCCTGAGACTGAGGCATGACCACCCAGCGGTTAGATCGCCAGTGTGTGACGACTCACTTCCTCTCAACCAAGAAAGTTTTTAGGAGTAAGAAGTTCAATGCGAACAAGAAAGTGGTGATTATGGGAAAAGGCAGCCCACGATATGTCAAATGATTTAAGTTCCATTCTGATCCTTTGATGCTGATTTCTTTACACTAAACGTCATATGACATTATGATTCAAGATCAACAAATGCGATAACTAACTGCTTGAGTCTCGGAATCATAAAATTGCAAAGGAATTACTGGTGCCCAAAACTAATTGCATAGGTGCTGTCTCAGCAAAGCACAAATCTGTTTCTAGGCTTGAAGGCAACTAAAATACTTGAGCCTCTCGTACCCAGCATGGTTGTCGGATAAGCAAATATATTATTAGTCTAGAACAGACTTCTCTGATTTGTTTGCTAATGCTCAAATGCTCTTACTGTTTACCTGCAAGTTGGCAGCCACCTGTAATGGTTCACATTGTTAAAAAACTGACTGTTGGTAATAAACATTGAGGTTTTAGTATGTTTGTGGCAATAGTTTTACTGGTACATGGAGAGAGAACAGATTCGTTGATACCTTGGTTGCTTCAGTTTAGGTGAAATATTATGTGAGTGCTTTGGGGCTAAAGCATTTATTCGACGTAATGAATAGCAGTGAGTGCGAAAATGTGCCAAAGAGGAATGCCTTCCGGTGTTTTGTCCACCTACATTTGGGATACCATTGCATAACCACTCGTCACCATGCGCTAAGTCCAATGTGCGCATCAAATCCTTTCCTGCAGCCAGAAACATTTCACTACTGACCAACATTTTAAGCTGTTACAACAGGTTTTAAAATCTATCCTATTTACTAAGGGCATGGGAATGGATAGGGACATGTGCTTTTGAGGAAAGTTGAAACGATCAAGGCATATTTGATTTTGATGCTCCTTGATCTTTTTTGCATTCTACTTGTATTCTCAAAATGTACGATTGAAGCAAAAACATGGACTAGCAGTGACAAGAACTAAAGCATGTCTAACTGGAGCTAAGGCTTGGTGGAGTCAAGGCTTTCGGTTAGTTTTAGCATTTACGTGTTTTGTATTTGTTCATCATTATACGGGCAATATGCAAGTACGTACTTTTATTTCACTTCCTTCGCAAACTTTGTACGAATAAGTAGTAGTTGAAATGTAAGAGGGAGAAAAAATACTCTAATTAAAAAGGTGTTTTTTAGCTCATAACGACCTGCCACGGGTTTGCATAACCTTGGAAGTAAACATGAGCAAAACCAGTTCACCTTACAAGTGGCTGTGCAACTGATGTCCTCACATACTTTCGTCAGACTTCAAATTATCCAGCTTACCGAAAGCTGTGCAAGCGAAGGGCACACTTGACATTGCACGTTGGACATTTGACTAAAGTTGACTGCCTCGCGATCTGTGGAGCACCTAATTAGCGAGGCTGACATTTCTTCTGCAATATCGAAGGAGCTTATGAATGGTGGTTGTGCTAATAACATTTGCTCCTTCGCCCAGCCTCCAGCTGCACTGCGATCGTTAGGGGGATAATTCTGCCCAACGCCTTCACCACTTACGCAGGCAACGATGCCCCTGCCACCACATTCCTGTGATTTTCGTCGATTTCGAATCAGACAAATTACAACAGGGAGAACGACTGAACAAACCATGAGGCAGGCAACAACGAAGAGTATCACATGTTTACTGTGATGTAAAATTCCAAATAGGTATGCAACGAATCCATTGTTCTTCCTATGTTGAATGTACATTAGAGCGTCGGAATGAAGTGGTGGATTTCCATTATCAGAAACCCGCAGAATTAGCTCAAAGAGACCGCTCCCATCTTGGCTTGGTAATTCACTGTTCAAAACACTTACAACCCATGTGATCTGATTAATGTGGAAGTGTTCATTGGCATTGATGTATTGAGGCTCTGCGCTTAGATTAAGAGTATAATTGGCATTTAAGGCAAAAGATGTGTCACTGTAGTAATTGCCACTAACAATGCTGAACGAGAAGTTAGCATTTGGCTCAGTATCAGCGTCGGAGGCCATAAGCTTTACAATGTTGAGTTGCGTAGGGGCTTGGTGGGATATATTGACAAGAGCAACACAGGACACTCCATCAAGACCGGCGTACCTGGTACTTGATCGAATGATTTTTGTCACTGCTGTTATGCTAATTTCCTGATGCATTTTTTCTGGCACTTTCCAGACAGGCTCGTTATCATTAACATCCTCCACAATAATACTGATCCGTTCCAGTGTTTTCCGTGAAAATGGACGTCCTAAGTCACTGATCTCAACTTCAAGCTGGTATTGAGACACAATTTCGCGATCAAGTACGGCTTTGGCATATATCTTCCCTGATATTGGGTTTATGTCAAATAATTCATTTGATGACATAAATCGCACTGTTCCATTTTCTCCAAGATCTGGATCAAAGGCTCTAAGCTGACCTATGAGGTCTGAATATGCAGGTCGATTTTCGAGAATTTTAAACGTGCAAATGCTTTCCAACGCTGGACTGTTGTCGTTCACATCGTCAAGAACAACAGTTATGTTTGCTAGTTCATATTCTGAATTTGGGGTTCTGGGACCTAGCACATCCATATCCACTACTCTTACCGCAAAATCAATTTTCCCAGTTTGTTCACGGTCGAAGCTCCCGAGAGTGTAGATCCTACCACTGGAGGAGTCGATTCGAAAGAGGTTGCTACCGCTTTCTACTAGCTCGAACTTCATTTTTGGGGTCGCATCACGATCGGTCGCTTGAATCTCCACAACAAGAGAACCAGGAGGCGCGTCTTCGGGAAGGTGAACCACTAAATTTGACTGTATTTTTGTAAAATGGGCTGGAAACTCGTTTACATCCACAATGTTCACCTGAATGTTCTGCCTTGATACTATTTTGGGAGTTCCAGCATCAGAACACTCAACTTGAAGTGCTATTGGTGCATGCGGGAGCATGGCCTCCAAGTCAAATCGAATTGTTGATTGCAGACCATACATTTTCCTCTCTTGTCCCGAACTAGAGTAGCTCAGTTGAAAAGGGGAGTTATTTCCTTTAAGTTCACAGGAAACTTCACCGTTCGGGCCGATGTCTTGATCACCAGTCAAAATAATTCCGATCTGGGTACCTATTGGCTGGTTTTCTTCAACCCACAGTTGAACATAACCGTCTGTAGATTTTCTCATACCAGCAGGAGGACTAATTGGTTTGACTTCAATCCATGGGGGGTGGTTATTCACATCTTCAATGTCTATTTGAAGCATTGCGGTGCCGGTTTTGGGTATGGTTCCACCGTCTTGGGCGATTACAGGAATCTTTAAATGGGACATGATTTTAGCATCTAGGGGTCTCTTCACCCACACTTCCCCAGTATTTTCATTTATCCCAAAAAAATTGATCGCATTATGGTCATACACTTGTCCAAAGCGGTACGTTAGTTTCCCAAAGTCGCCCGAATCAGCGTCCTTAGCAGTAACTACAGCAATAACCGTCATTACAGGTGTCGCCTCTGAAATTCGCAATTCATAGATTTCTTTATCAAAGTGTGGCTTATTATCGTTGCTGTCAGTTATGAAGATTGAAATATTCTGATATGCACATTGCGGTATTGGTCTACCTCCATCACACGCCTTTATTTGTCCTTTATAGGAGGTTTTTTCTTCAAAATCCAGTTTTTTCTTAACAACTAGGTTCAACTCACCTGGAAGAGCGAATTTTAAGTCAAATGTCGAATTATCAATGTCAGTGCCACACAAAGTGTACGATTGGATGCCGTTATTATCAGCGTCCTCGTCTGTCGCACCAGTTAGTGGCACTTCATAACCTATACTTACGCCTTCACTTATAAATACAATGTATGGAGGGTTTGCTGTTCGTCCTCCAAATGCATTCGGGTCGTTGTGTTGAAATTGAGGAGCATGATCATTTATGTCCTCCACGATCACAGCAATGTTTATCCAATGGTCTGGAGGAATGTGAGCAATAAAATCCACCTGACATTTGCTTGGAGTGTTGTCGACGCCGCCGAGTAGGAGGTTGGAGGCAGAAATTGTCCCACGTTGAGGACAAATCATTTCGCGGTCAATTCGTCCCGATACCACAAGTCTACCTGAATTTCCATCGGTTCGGAATAATCCAGTAACCTGATCTTCATACAGCTGTATTCCCATGTCACCACCGGTAGAAATAACATCACTTAGACCGGAATCAACCAAAATATTCCCAATGAATGTCCCATTATCAGCTTCCTCTTTGACGACGTAAGTGACTTCATATTTTGCGCTCGCGAGAAAGAAAATGAGAATGAGACAAAAAGGAGACTGTGACGACCAGACTGACATCATATCGGTAGAGTAATATAAGACAGTTTCTCTTACCCTTGACTATCGGGTGCCAATGTGATTGGCCAGTTAGATTCCCTATCAGTTAGCCAATGGTAGGAGACCACACACGAGTCTCCACGACTAAGGGATGTAAGGGTAATAGTAACGATGATCTTTTCCTAATAAGCGTAATTGATGGGTAAAAAATCTGTTTGACTGAGCCTATGCGGTCACAAATTGATATAAATGCAGGCTTCTTATCAGAATCACTAAAAATTTCTAGGCCTCTCCTTAAAGTCGCAAATAAAGGCTTAAATGTATTTTAATCTAAATGACTTGGTCAAACCTTGCGATTACTAATCTTGGACTTAAATTCAAGGATTTCCAAGCCTCACCTTATCATAAAACCCTCAAGTGTGGCAATTCTTTGGCTAAGACACAATTACATTTTACACCTACCATCCAGCTAACGATTTTATCTTTATTTATCATGGGAAGGTTGTAAATTGTATATTGATGAGTGCTCTTGGTAGTGAAAGTGGCAAAGGCGTGTTTTACTAAATAACTGGATAGGAGGCGCTAAAGTACCAGAAGAAATCGTGTAGATAAGTAACTGGATGAATGGCTGTGGTTTGCCTGTAGCATAATCTAAAGAAGTTGCGCTTCTGCTTCGCGCCAATTTCAATTTTCAGCTTCATTTGTCCAAGCCTGATGGATCTACTTGTCATTGAGCTTTCACATTTTTGCTAATCAGATGGGATTGGCATTCTGATGAGTTCTAAGTGTAAAGCAAGCGCAGAAAATGAGTGCCATGTCGCGACATTTAAAAGGGTTCTTGAGCATTATATCTCGCCCTTACTTCGGTCTTTACAGTGCCAGGTTAAAGTGTTGGTTATTCTTAGGCTGTTAAGCTCTTCAGGTTGCAATAAACTCTCGCATTTAGATTGTTATTCCAAACGCATACGCACTTAAAACGTTGACTTAACAGGTATTGTATTCCTCTCATGCCTACGAGTAGATAATGGTTGCCGTAGTTCCCGATTTTTAATGGTAAACCAGACGCAGTCATTTCTGGAAATATTTCGAAAGTTCGGTTCTGGACAAATAGATATGCCGGCTTCTCCAAATAATCGTACGTATAAACTATCGAGCGAGAGGGCAAAGCAATAACTCCTTAAAACATTAGCGGAATTTTAAAGAACTTTGAACGCCGTTGTCCAGGAACAAGACAATACCTTGAACACCGACTGAGACTATATGACACTTTCCATTCAAATACACTATCCCCTCTGAATTAAAAAGCCTATACAGTAATGATAAATGTGTAAAAAGGGATTCCTTTTTTTGACAATTGGTATGCATGTCAAAATGAGAAGTCTTCCATTCAGAAATTAATAATCTATGCAACTGTGGCACTCGGTATGTACCTGTCAAGGCAGCGAGGGAGCAAAAAAGTCATTTAAGGAAGTCAATCAAAGATATATGGTTTTTTTGCTGCGCAGTAAAGTAATTTAGCTGAACTTTGGTGGTTTATCGGACTTAACCGCTGATTCTATCGCCTTGCCTGAAATGTTGCGTCTTTCCTGTGTTAACTGCGACATTTTAAATTTGCTTCTATGCGTACTTAGTAAGTAGGGAATCCTTGTGAAGAGGAATGAATTACCGTTTCTAGTTGTCGGCATTAAAGCACCCCTGTAAGACGAGCCTCCAAGCATTAAATTGCAAAACACTACTGGAATCAGTTGTTCTCAACTACATTTTTTTTTCAGTCAAAATGCACATAAGATGAAGATGTTTAGCCGACCGAAAAAATCCCGCAAAACATCGATAGAAACTCTAGGCGAAGAACTGTATATTTAAAGAAGTCTAAAGATAAGGACCAAATCATGTATAAATCCTCATTCATAATTGTCAGTCTCGCAGATATTGCTGTGCTTTTTAATAAAAGTGTGGATTTGCCTGGCAAATGACTGAATGAGTGTGCTGCAAATAAACAGTGTGAACAGCCGGATGTGGAAGACCTATTTCACGATTTCCTAGTTGCCCTATTAGTTCACATCATTTTGGTGGCGAAGACAAAAGGCCCGAGTGGCACTAGGTCGCAGTGAAACAAAAACCGTGTGTCCGTGAGATGGGTCGTACTCCGATTGTGGTCTACCCAATCGACCGTCAACTGTGATGAATGCTCAAATGTAACTTTCCCTTGTGGAGATGAACTTCTTTTACCAGAAAAAAGGTAGTTCTTCGGTTAAATAATGACGCAAACATCCCCCCTTGGTAAACACTATTTGAAATGTTTCAAAAAATGGCCTGACTTAGTCAGGATTTGGCAAAGTTTGCAATCGGATCATGCAGCAATTTGGTTAGGACAATTTGATCGTCAATAGTGTGGAGCTACTCGACTATCCACAAGATCTTGATAACACTACAGCACATGGTACCTGCATAACGCTTGAAAGTAATGTCGAGGTCCTAATCGCATGTGGATCAAAAGTTAAAGTAAAAATCACGGCCCCTTGCTAAATCAACGGCTTCCAGCTTTTTAGTGACTTCATGCCAATCATTATGGTCGCCACATAGCAGCACTCATATTACTTGGTCATCTGAGACACGCGCATAAGCGTTAGCGGCTCCATTTGGTAGTCCTTGGAAGGTTGTCGTTTTCTGGTAAATGACCAGCACCTTAGAAAAATCCCAGTCGGGATATTTCTTGCACAAGCAGAGTTGATCCTTGTAATGAGCCCAGTTTTCTGTTCAAAAATTTGACCGCCGCGAGACCACCTTTATCGGCATTCATGAATGATGAGTGCCACTGGTGTCTTACACTACCATCAAAAAGACAAGGATGAAGTTATAATTTAAAATTTTTTTGTTTGGTAACCGGCACAGCGCAAAACCACCAAATTAATTATGCGCCTCCTTTTAGTGAGTGAGAAGGAAATGACCTAAAAAACGTGCAAGACATTTCCAGATTTGAGTGCTACTTGTTTGAATGAGTAGGAATTGTGTTCTAAACTGCATTTCCACCAACCAGAGGTACTCCACATTTTGCATGCAATCTAACAAAAATTCTGTGGCCTAGACTTAATCAACCCTAACACCTTTTAAAGAGGAATGAGTGTGTGGATGTGGAAATAATGTGTTTAATATGCTTTCGGCAATCATTCGCCAGTGTTTCTTCCATCATATGAGAGGATTAGGTGGACAGTGTGGGTAGTAATTAAAAAAAGTTATATATTAAAGCCATAAGATAATAATAACATGGAATTTTCAAATTCGCCTCATTCGGTAAAAGATCACGAAGATATTCGGCATGTAAATCGTTGTGCTCCGTCTGAAGCAAACTTCACCGCTGCTCTGAGCTCATTCTTTCTATTTGCTTCATTATTATTTTATTTGAAGAGGAAAGTAGTTTTGAGGCTTTTCCGAGAGCTTTAGACACGGTAAACAGGGCATTGACAGTTCCTCCTCTGGAAATGTTGGTGGAGTCAGCATCTAAAATGAACAAAACCCCGAACATATCCAAATAAGTCAATATGGTGCCCAAAACGTGTTTAAAGCTATAGTTGGTGTTAAGCTTCAATTGCAATTTCCTCCAAGATCTGGGTGGCAGAATGTTGTTGAAGTCTTGAAAAATGCTTAGACGACCCCTAGTTCTCAAGCCATAACTTCCAAGTTTATCTTTTAATCACGGTAAAACACTGACAATAGTAATTTACAAAAAAATAGAGCCATTAAAGTTATGGAATTAGTTTAGCGTTAGACTTCTACAGTGTTTCATGATTTTCATGAGGATTTGGATGAACCTTTGTGTTCTGCGTTGAAGGGGATGCAGGGCTTAGACTCATGAAATGTCACGGTTTGGTGATGGTACTGGTAACGGTTCTACCCCTCAATTTAAAAATAAATGGCACAATCCCAATTGATACAAACATAATGGTTTTAAGGCCATTTTGAAGACAAATTTAATTTCCCTGTCAGCAAAACATGGGAGGTAAAAGGCTGATGAATTTAGGCGTGTACTTTCATTTGAAATTGAGACAAAAGGGAAAGTAGTGCACTCTAACGCTTCTAACGCCAACTGAGGAGGACGTCAAAGAGACTTACCATCACTAGAAATGCGACTGTTCTCTGAGACCATTGACGAATTCGATGTTGTGTCGAATCCGGTGGATAATCCACAAGGAGTAGGGGAACCCACAGATCGATCACACCAGTAGGTCGATGGACCTTTGTCTGTTTCAATATTTTCCTCAATTAGGCGAAAGTATGGACCATGAACCTGAATTTCGTGTCGTCTTCCTCCTAATTGCACCTGTGTACTGAGATTCCGCTGGTACTCACCTGTCTCATGAAGCAGACGCGTGGAGGACGCACTTGGGCGTCTGGAGACTTTATTGTTAAATATGTAATAAATAAAATGAAACATGAAATAAGGTTGAACTCATAATAGTAGCAAAAGAAGCATGGAGGAACAAGGAAAGATGTGTTTGTGTAAGAAGAATGCGATAGCTTAAGCTCATTATACAACAATAGTTGAATGCACAAGCCTTAGATACGCATACGGGGTAGTGATCTCATGCATTAAGATTGCCTTAGAAAGGGAGACTAAGTCGCATCTCAAAGTCATGCCCTTCCAACAACACTTCAGACTGAACAACTTAGTGGTGACAAGTCCGATCAAACTTCGAAAATATGAAGCATAAAACCCAGTAAGCCATGTTAGATTGGAATGGACTGTTTTTCAAAGGCTACTTGTGCATTAAGACCTGCAGTGTGCCATTTTGCGCGAGAACTTTCCCAAACAGTGACTTTGTGGTTGTTGGATTGCTTAGTAGTTTACTAACAGCAAGGTATTAATCAAAGACCATGCAAACGGTTCGAAGTAGGCGCTATTTGATTGCATCAAACGCCTACATCCTCTTCTTGTTGACACCTATGGGTGTTAGAAATAGAATTTAGTGATGTTCAAGACTGCCCTTTTGTAAGTATGAGGTTTAGAGCAAGTATACATCCTCATCCTTGAAGGATTTTCTCATTCACGATAAAGTTATTTTTGCTTAGTGTTTGAAGGTTACACAGGACAGGTTGGAAATTACGAGTTGTAGCTCACTTTTAATTCCTGAATAGGCGGAACCGATTGCCGTGTTAGCAACTTCAAACTCCTGCTGATTTACTTCGTCATTAATAGAGATTGAGCTAAACCGTTTTTCAATTTCGAGTTTATGCTCTTCTGACCGTGGACGTCTCCCCATTGCCTCCGATTTCATTGTGCCAACACCTGAAGTCAAATAGCAAAAAGGCAACGATTCATCGTTGAGCTTATCGCTTTTAAGACCGTTTCTAAACGCAGACGATTCCAGGCAATTCGTCTGAGCGATTTTGGCTCGTGGTACAACTTTGGGGAGTGGGATTGACGATGAGAACTTGTCTGTCGACAATAAGCACGATGGTCTTGACATTGTTGAGGAAGTGATTTCCGGATCACAGTCAGAATCAGGAGTTCGTGAACGACATTTTGGGGAATACATTAACAAATCTTGAGATGAGCATTCAACGCCATAACTAGTGTCTTCAAAACGTATGTTATTAGGTCCTTTGGTAGGTGAAAGCTGTCCCGTTGATCCTTCATTGTTGTTTCTTAGAACATCGGTGTCTGCAGAATCTTGATTAAGGAGTGACTTTCGAGGCCTAACTTTCAATTTCTCATCCTTTTGCATTGATCCCTGCAAACTTTCAGGATGACTTCCCATTGCATTTATACTTACCAGTGCTATTTCTCCAAACTTTTCAGATTTGAATTCTAAATGTTTGTTTCGGATGCTCTTCCCAAGTACATCAATAATTTGGGTTCCATTACGTCTCCGACCTCTGGGTTTCAGTACATCCGTGGTTTGCTCTAAGCTCGATTCACAAATGACTAGCGTGGACTGCTCTTTCGAAGCAGATGAATAGGCTGGCATTGATGCTTTGACTTTTTTGGGTGCTGACATGGATTTCGCAAGGTCTTCGAAGGGGTAATCATTTATGCAACCCTTGGCATTTTTACCAGTTGTGTCTCGAATATCCATTGAAGGGGGAGTTCGATGCTCTCTATGCTCATCTGAGACAATATCAGGAACATTTTCAAGGTGAGTAGAATCCAATTTTTTTGGTTTGGCATCCTTATTTTCGTTTAATTCACCTCTAGTCTCACTATATGGGTCACGTTCCATGGTTTTGGTGCTACTAGTACTGTTGGTTGGCTGAAAAGAATGAAAAGTCTCTTGTGTCCTCCTTTGCCGTTCTCTCAATTCCTTTTCAAATACGTTCTTTAGATCAGGGAATTTCCCTTCTACCGTTTTCAACGTGAAATAGTGGCCTTTGCATGAAGCATCATCGTTAAAAGAGCAGAATACATTATCCACTGGTACTGACGTGCTAGTAGTTGTTACATCATAATCGTTTTTGCTGCCCTTCGCAGTTGTTGAGTTAGAAGTGGAAACCACATCTCCCTTTTGTGCAATTTTAATAGGCGATAGGCTTGGCGATATTTGCCCCGTTTTTGAGATATTTGGTGTTTTGAGATCCTCATCCATGTCAACCTGAGAGCTGCCTTCCTCATCCGAATCTTTTAACTTTTCGTCAGGAGATTCATGGCCAACAGAAAGAGACGCAGTTTTCGTGTTTATCAGACTATAAGTATTTTCCAGTAGTATGCCTTCGCCCATCACCTGGCGAATTTCTGCACTTCCCAATGTTTTAAAATTACCCACAATAGCATGTTCAACACCACCTTCAAGTGAGTTTCCGCTTCTTATGGGAAACACCACATAGGGATTCGGAATTGGGTTTCGTGTTTTATTTATGACCAGGTTTAAATGCGGTTCACTCGATGATTGCTTTTTGGACAAGCACTTTTCTATCCCATGTTTTTGCAAAATGTCCATACTTTCAAGAGATAAACTTCTTCGTTTGATGCAGTGGTTTGGTTTAAAACTTGAACCAAGCATATCATTGAATCTCGGTTTCTTTTTTTCTATGAATGCGTCACTCAAATGCTCATCGCCTATATCTGCAGTTGTGGTAACCTGGTCTGTTCTAGAATCTGTCGAATGACATTCAAAATTTATGTTTTCCTGACCAGTGCTCTTTTTCTCCTCAGTTGACTGGCTTTTTAAGTGGGACTTTTCCACATCCCCATTTAAATTGCAAAATTTCCCTTTCTCCTTAACTTTGAACCCCTCAGCGTAACTTTGGGAACGTCGGTCTCTAATTCCTTCGCAATGCGCATTCGAAGTCATTGACCTTCTCTTTTCAATGCTCTCATTCTTGCTCACCTTTTTCCCTTTACCAGGGCATAGTGACTCTTCTTTTATCGAGTGAAATGAATCATCATCCCATTTCACCCACCTTGTTTGGCTGGACCTATCATCTGACGAAGCAGACAAGACAGAATTTGAGGCCATTTCACCCGGTATTTCATCTTCATGCCCATTTACCCTACTTCTGCCTCCGCTTCCTTCTATAATTGGATGCAGTGAACTAGGACTAAGAGTAAATGCATTTGGGTGTTTCATTTTAATCTCCGTTGACGAAGTAATTGTTGAAAGTTCATCCTGTTCAGGAAAGCATTGAGGCTCCATTAAATATGCGCATTTTTTATCACCGATGAGGTCTGAAGAGGCGATTGTGTTCTCCTTTGCTACGGTGAGGTGCTCAGAGGTTGAAGCTCGTTTGGATGTTGTTGGTGTGGTTTCTAGCTCGTCAGAGCATGGCAAATCTTCGCTCTTCTGAGCGCTAAGCATGGACTTCATTAAGGGGTTGCAGCTTTCCATTGGACATAAACTTGTCTCAATTTCCATTGATCGTTCAGCTGTTGCCTCCAAAGTTTCCTCAGTTGATGTTTCCACGATTATGGGAGGGTGAATTTCTCCCTCACGTAAAGAGCTTAGAGCATCCTTTTCGTGGTTAAAAAAGGTACACGACCGGCTTGTAACTTGATCATTTGTTGTTCTGATTCGTTTAGCAGGCTTAGGAGGCTCGGACTCTTTTTCAGCATCAGCAAATGTTTTCACCTTGCCATTTTTATGGGGTGGCTTGTTCCTTAGTTCTTCAGTCTCCATCGCGACCAGTGTTAACGCACTCTCATCAGGCGGAAGGACATGATTAACCTCCTGCACAACGGAGACACTGTCGGGTGAGGACCACTGCATTTCTCCCACACTATCGCCCATTGAGTGGACGTCGTCTAAGACGGGCGAATTATCATCCATGTCACTTGAGCTAACCATGCAACCAATGTCTGATTGTACTGTATAATAGCATTCATTTTTTCGAGAGAGCTGATTAATACCGCTAAGGTCCGTTGTAGATATATCAGGGAGAAGCAATTCATGTATTTCAAGTGAGCGATTGCTTGCGATATCAAATCGTACGTCAAAATTTTGGTGAGTGAGGCAGCCCGGACATTGGCTTGAAATCATCAGAGCCTCATGGTCAAGTGTGCTATTAAAATTTCCATGAATTTCTCGATGTTTTTCAGCAGAACCTTCATCGTTTAGAGTTTTTACGATTAGAGATGTTTGGAAAGTCTCAGTCTCCTCCAAATTCGTTGCGAATTTAAGTTTTTCAGGACTTGAGAACAAACAAGAGGATTCGAGTTTGGGATTCCAGAATTCTAAAGGAGATGTTATTTTTTGACATATTAATAGGACAATTAGTAAAAGAAAACAATATGCGAAAATTGATTTGCGGAAAAGTCTTAGTGTTTTAGCAGCTGAATGGATAGATCCGGTTCCAATTGTTGCGTACTTGTTTTTCGCGCAACTCAAAGTCACCACATACTTTGGGGCATGGACATTGTGATGATTGGCTTTCCATTTTGTGCGAAAGGCCCCCCTCAAAAAAATAGGCACCAGCCATGAGATCCAAGAAATAGCCTGTACTTCCACTTTACTGCCGCACTCAGTATGCGTAATGATGCATCTAATGACGAAAATAGTGCAGTGTCCTACGATTAAAGAATGCGTAAGAGAGAGGAATGTTAACAACCACACTTTTCGGCCGCATGAAAAGTTCTCACACGCATTACCAATAGGTGAAATCTAAAAGCCGCACTCATCAATACAAATGGGAATTACTTAGGGTGGTTGTGGTAAAGTTGAATTCTTTACAACAGCAAAACACTAAGTAAGATTGGCTTTCTTACTTTTATTACAGAAAGGTGATAATGTGATGGAAATCAGCATGACAGCATCATTTTTGTGACTTGTATTAAAAACTGTTTGCCCAAGAAATAACAATTTGAAATTAGCCTTGACTCGAACATATTTTCGTTGTGTAACAAGCTAATAGCCACTTTCAGATTCAATCTTTTGCTCCCACACCTTCCCTACGATTTTGTTGACTTCGTCTGTAATTTGCAAAGGTGTAAATCGAATATGTTAAATTTGAATGTAAGCTAGAGTAGGAATAAACTAAAGCATTGAGCCATATGCATAACATTTCAAACAATGCCGCACTTTCATGTGAGTATCTGCCATTGAGCATTGACCGAAATGCCCGGTGGGAATAAAATACAAGAACGAACCTTGAATTTTCTTGCCCAGCACGAAAAGGGCCATACTATCTCTGAACCAACCCACTTCTCTGAATCGAATTACTTCACAGGGCAGAGCTGCCGGCAGTTCAAAGTCACCCATCGCCAAAACAAGAAACCGCGACTTCCAGTCATAATCCTTAGGCGTTGATTGGTTTAACAGTGACTGCAAATGCCCCCTCGTAAATGCACCAAAGGTAACGACGTCGTGTTGAGTCACCAGAAATAGAACCCTACTAGCTTTTGCAAACAAGCAGGCATAGACGCGGAAAGGGTCTGACCAAATGTCAGAAGCGATGATGTCGCTAGAGGAGATGTGTGTAATTGAGAGCGTAGGAATCTGGCTCATCACGTAGTTGGCCATATGTCGCGCCAGATTCTCTGAGTCGTAGAGAGCCTCTCGCCTTATCTTCGTGCTAGTATTTTCTGCTTTGGAATGTTCATTGAGAAAGGTTGCCGGAATAATTAGAGCATGGTGGAAGGCGCCACGAGCCATCACTTGTGCGCGTCACTTGGCTATGGAGGAGGCCCACTAACTCGCTTGTGTGATGTGGCTGAGATTGGCTTACGGCGTTTGCATTGGTGCAGCTCCATGCGACATCTCAATTGGTGCACGTTGTGTGCTGTGTCAGTATGCTAAAACGGTGCATACGAAATTGAGCTTATCTACAAACAACGAGGTTCTAACGACTACCTTATACCAATCCCAAGTTGATGAAAGTCGTAACTGTTTGTTAGTTAAAAAGGTCAACCTGGAGGTGAGGCTAGAAATTTAGCATGCCCTTAATTTTTTATTTTTATCGAATGATTGAAGTAATTGCTGACGTGTCAATCAGCGACTTACAATATCTCAGCAACAACCAAAGCCATTTGTGTGCACTTTGCATTTACTGCCAAGCTAAGCTGAAATTGGAATTGCTTTTACTTGGAAAGTGACACTTTCGGTGCATGCATCAGTGACATTCAGCGGCAGTCAACGCAGACATCGGCTTAACAATTCCACTCGTTTTATCACTGAATGTGGTGGTAAACAGAAATGAGTAGTTTGAGGTGAGGACAGAACAGCCCAGTCATGTCCGGTCAAACCTACGTTTGTGAGTCCTCCAAAACACACAACTCTATCAGTTCACTTGCAAAAAAAAAACGCAGATTAAACTGCTAGAAAAGTTTGGCGATCTAAGCACTTGAAAATTATTTAGCTTGATTAGAGACGATTTCAATGCAACATGGATTTACCAAAGTGTGCATATTTTTGTTCTGGCATCGACCGAAACATTATTTTTTTTGTACTGTCCGCTTTAGACCTCGACTGTCCTTGTATTTATTGCTAAGGAAGGATGAAGGAATTTCAAAATTTTAATTACAAGGAAACGCTTTAAGGCGAACTCCTGATCCAAAGCTACGGGTCGGCAACTTAATTGTTAATGAAATCAAAGCCAAATATGTTGCCTTTTCACCACCATATATCAGAAAATGTAAGAATAAATACAACGCCTCTTTTTGATCGAAAATTGTGTTTTGGTTGTGAATACACCCTTTGCCTATGATCAATTGATGTCAAAGTATTGAGACTGTCTACAACCCCAGAAACAGCATTTTTTTGTTTCCGAACTGTATAATTGTTCAGGATTTTCTCTTTATCAGATGCTGGACCATTGAAAGTTTGGCAGTCTAGCCAGGTCCTCTTTGAAAGTTGTGGCTAGAGTATGAACAGTCGCACCGAGGTAGTTACCTTCCTATGACTCTGCATTCAAGCTCAAAAGTACAAATACAAATATAACTACTGGTTGCACACCTAACCTCACCGTACAAGATTTTATTTTATGAAAACCCCATCTTTTGATCACTCTGACTGAGATCAGCTTCTGAGCGTTTTGCATTACTTTGAGGCATCGCTAAACTGAGACTATTCGAACTCACTCCAACCAATCTCGCTATTTGAAGAATCAGTGGCAAATGCTTTCGGTTTTCTGCTTCAACGGTCGTTATTATGGCTGTGACGATTTGGAAAGTTGACAGGAGATTCACAAAAAAACTTTCGAATTTAGTTATTGGGAATGCGTTTTCCTTAAAGTAGGTGAGCGTGAAATCAGACAATTACTATTTCATCATGCTTTGGCCTTTTAAAAAGGACTATGTTTTACAAAGCTTATTTTCTCATGATTTTATAAACTTGATTTTGGTTCACACCACAAGACACCATAATTCCAAAGCTATACCAAAACTACCTTTTGACTCCATGTACAGGTGATTGGTAGTCGTTGACTAAAGCTTATTGGGGATTTTACTCCTCTTTTTTGACATTTCTATAATTTTATGCATACTTGAGCTGCTGAAGTTGAGTTTTTGGGGAAATTTCATGATGAAATTCCGAGAGGGGAGTGAATGGTTAAGGGAGGTAGAGGACAGATATGCTGGATGTTTGTTGAGCATAGCACATAAGGTCGAAAATCAGGAGGCCGCAAAATCTTGACAACGAAACCGCCAAGGTTCCAGTAAGTGCCAAATACGAGTTCATATTCATGCTAATTGTTTAGCACCCTATGCCGTCGCAGTTCTACATTTTTTGTGCGAGCCTAGACTGCAATGAATGAAGAATTATTGTGAAATTTACAACTTAAGTATTTTGTGACGTAGTTCCCGTCATCTAAGGCCTCTTCTGTTGCAAATAAGTTGTAGCAGAAAGTGGGAAGGGGATTAACTTTATCCTTTCAAAGAACGCTGTTACGTCGGGTTAGAAACAGGATATGTTGCAAACTTTTATTATTTATGCTAGCTGAATCACAAAATGATGTTGAGCTTTAGGGCTGATATGTCGCTCTGCGTTTCGTGTTAGACTTTCCAGCAGGCTAATGCTGTTGAGAGTGTCACCTCGTTTGGTGGGCAGGGAACTAATGCCTTTATGAATATTTGCCTTACTGGCAGTTCGGCTATCGCAAGCCTAAGTAGCATTAACGATCCATTAGTTAATTGCCAGCGGACCAATAAAATCGTAGCCCAAGTCGACAGAAGTTCCCTTCCTGGCAGTACAAATTAGTGCTCCCCATTACGAACAACAAAACCCACTCAAACTCATGGGCAGACCGAAGTCGAGACTTTCCAGTCGGGCAAAGAATAGCAATTTTTGGGCAAAACGGCCACATAGCAACTCCATTTTGGAGTGGTTTACTGCTTACGAGATGCCCAAAGTAATTCTCATCCAGCACTCGACAGTGGGTCTTATCTACCGTTTTCTTCAGATATCTATAATAATATGTTTCATCGGATGGGTGATTGTGAAAGAGAAAGGTTACCAGGCCTCGGAACGCCCAATTTACGGTGTGTCGGCCACAGTTCAAGGAACGGCATTCAGTAATACAGAGCACCGCAGTAGCCACCTGGCTGCAGGTCCTATGGTTTATACAGATGCGGATCTTGTTCGACCGCCTATTCAAAATGCTGGATTTTTTTTAATAACTCGTGTACACAGCATCATTGACCAACTAAGATATGTCTGTGCTGAAGCTCCAGATTTGCTAGATGCTCGATGTCGGAGTGATGCGCAGTGTCCAGTTAACCAAATTGCTGAAAATAAGGTGCCTGAAGAGTTCGCACATTTGACAAACACGTCATGGTTTGACGTTGAAAGTTATGGACACGGCCCTTTTACTGGACGCTGTTTATCCAAAACAATGACATGTGAAGTAATTGCCTGGTGCCCTATTCTAGAAAACACAGATCTGCAGGACTACTCTTGGTATCCTCCTATGCTACCAGATTTTGGCAACATGTCCAACCACACTTCAACGCATTCCTTCAGTAAAAGCCCCGTTGACCGAAGAACGATGCAGTCAGATACAGATTATTTAAAAGAGAACAAAGTTGATCCATTGTACGAAGTCCTTAATTTCACCGTTCTCATTCGAAACGTCATTGAATTTCCATTTTACAGAATCAAACAAAATAACATTCGTGGTTGGATGAATAACACGTATTTAAGGATGTGCCGTTTTAATATCTCAGATGAAATAGATCGTCATTGTCCCCGTTTTCGTATTCAGGATGTCATTAGCCTATCCGGCGCGAATGTTTGGTATGTATTGTTCCATGGCGGAATCATTGATATTAACATTAACTGGGATTGCGACTTGGATAAAGCACTAGAAAAGTGCGTCCCTACCTATTCGTTTCGCTACTTAGGGGCCCTGAGCAGCGCCGCCGATCAGGATGTTGTTCACATGGACGAGAAGTACTATCTAGAGTTTGCCAATTACTATACATCTTCACAGCATAGGCGCATACTGCACAAATTCAGTGGCATCCAATTCCTCATATCTGTCACCGGTAAAGGAGGAAGATTCAGCTTACTTGTATTCACTATGAAAATAGGCTCTTGCATGGCCTATTTTGGTACTGCAACACTTCTCTGTGATCTTATTCTCGTTTATTTTAGTCGTGACAGGCATCGTTACAAGCAAACAGTGTGTCGTCTCAGTATCCTCACAAAAGGAAATAGCTTTATTAAGACGCATCGTGCCAACATACCTCCACCCAAACCTGCGCTTCACAAACCTGAGAATTTGGCAACAGTGATTGAGTTTTATGCCTCTTGCAATGACACCAAAATGCTTCCTGGACTCAAGGTGAACATTAGGAAGCAGAATGGAAACTATGCGACGAACCTAATTGAAGACCGTCAGTACCCGTCAATCATGCAAAGAAAATTCATTAAAAGTAATCCGTCCTCTTAAGAGGATATGGCGGTGCAGATGTAAGGACAGAAGGTTTCTGCAGTCTTCCTCATCCAAAGTTACACTATTGCATCGATTTGGGTGAAGTACATTGTTCATGATTTTGAAACTTTCGACCTACCACTCGCTACTAATGCCAAACTGCATGCCCCAACCAATACTCCTCAATCAACAAATCAGTCCTAATACAAGGGTTTACGAACCTTGATTGACTCGGATTAGTTCCAAGGGCTAACTCACAAACCATTCGAATAAGAATTTACTTCCAAAGAAAATGGATTGATTACTAAGCTACCACATTTTTTCAACAAATCCTACACTTAGATTGCGCTGACTAACCCAGAAGCTACTATGATATCTTGAAACTGTTGCAATACAAAAGCGCAATGTTGAGTATTTCGCAGTTGTATTCTTGTCAGAGGTTAAGGAAGTGCCGTAAAAGCTTGTATTTGATTTAAGACCATTTTGTACTTCTCCTTTGCATTCCTTCATAGTGAGGAAGGGCAATGAATTGTGAGCTCTGGTTGTGGATTTTATTTTAAAAAATGCCAGACCATTTAAAACAGGAAGAGTATGTTGGGCATGCTTTGTAAACACTTTTAAACATTTTTTTCGGCAGTTAAGGAGAGAAGCGATGTTTCAGGACTTCTTGCTTTGCTTTATTACCAGCACGGCAATGATTCAATGAAACAAGTTCAGACGTTCGCTATTTGGTCCTGTAGTAGAAGGTCATAATAGAGGAGGATGCAGATTCCACTGGAAAGCACGACTCATGGCTTGCGTAGGTGGATCATCATTGACAACCATAAATAACACACACTGACAACTTATGATGTACAGCGATAGCAAATGCATAAATATGCATAAACATTAAGTTTGTCAGACAAAACAGGACTTCATTATGATGCGTGTTTAGTGCATTGATGGGAATCTGCTCAGAGTTGAAAATCAAACGCTCGATGACGGGAGGATTTCTTTCCTTCTTAACTTTGTCTATAGGATGATCATCTTGAGTACCGCATGGCAGGACTCACTGCAATCCATGTGTTTATCATCTTAGTGTGATTAATAGATCATAGTATACTCATTGCGATCCCAAGAATGTAGCCAACTTAAAGAATGACTTGTATTTTTTTGCGATTTTAGTAAATACAAATCACACCTTTTGTTACATTACAGAATTAATAGCATAAATTTTTTGTGTACCACGCAATCAGAAGAGGCTCACTTTGTAGTGGCTTTGAAAATTAAGCCATCAAAAGAGTTAATCTACCATTAAGATATCGCTTATTTTTAAGGCTGTGATGTAATTATTATTGGGCGAAGTTTTGGTTAAATTACCTTCTTAAAAGTTCCCACGATGGATGACTTCAAGGCACTTGTAATACCAGCAGCCTTAAGATGCCAAATGATCTATGCTGCCTTTACTTACTATATTTGTGAAAGTGTCTGCACATGTGTAGGATAATAGGGTCTGGATCTGAAATCCCCATCTTTTCAGTTCGCACTTACCATTGGTTAACGCGCGGGCCAATGGGAGGGGCTCAAAATGCCGGGCAAACAACCGCCACGCGTAACACTGACGAGCGTAATCTTTGCATGCTTTTATCAGCATGCACATGAGTCAGCCGACATAAGTCAAACGTTCAATTTTTGCGATCGAAATTGGCTTCGCGTGACCAATGCAATGGTTTTTTTGGTAATGGTTTTGACCACTCTGTTCTTTGCTATGAGGGACGCCAGTACTAGTACGGATATCATCACCATGGACGAGTTCGTGGATACCTTCACAGAAACTCTTATCTCTTGGAGCAGTCAATCGACCACAGAAGTTGGACGTGGGCGCCGAAGTACTGATTCATCCTCTCTAACACGGCTATCGGAATATGTAAATGTAAATTGCAACCTCATGTGCATCATAGAGACGCAAGGAGAGGGCTCCCATCGACAGATTCTCGTCTGTACATCAGAAAGCAAGGGCAGTCATAGGAAGGGCATTCCTGTCAGGACGACCTGCGTGGAACATGCCTCCGGTAGACTTTTGCACATGATAATTGCCGTTTCTGATGCTTCGGCAGACTGTCTAGATAATGACTTTGCTAAGGCTGTGAGCGATGCACTGCATACAATGACACCCGAACCCGAAGCGCTTTATCTCACCATTGAAATCCCTCTTCTAAAGTTGCATCGAAATGACTTCACGGCACTCGCTTCCAAAGTGCGACGTCTTTCCATTTATCTTGGGCAAGCCGTTCATGTGGATCCTAATGTTTTGTCATCATTATCCTTAGACTCATTTTCATTTGAGGGTTGCCGATTGAAGAAGACGACAGTTTTTCAAAATGAGTCACGGCACTGCGATGTCAACTTCCTTTACACCTGTCCAAAAATAGACGAATTCATACTATCCGTGGATAGAACGGGCTGGACAAGGCTCTGCTCTGAGCGTGCATACAATCACTCCAATGCGCAACATTTCGGAGAACAACAAGCATGCGGTTGCAATGATTACCGATCCCTCTTAGAAGCTCTTCATAATTCTGAAAAGGTACATTCGGATCCCGAACATACATTAAATTCGGAGTACAAGCAATTATTTCTGATTTCTCTGGCCACAAATTTACTTTTAAGTTTTACACTGTTAGTCATCTGCCTGTTTACAGCAATCCTACATGTACAGCATTATCGAGGATCGAATAAGAACAAAGCTTAGTTACAGAATGGTAGCAATCCAAATCCATAGGATTCAAATTCGAATTCCTTTGAAACGGAAGACTGACTGATTTCCATGTTTCACTTCCTCCTTTTGTAAAAAACTCCTTATCTGATCAAATTATTATTTTTTTCAAACACCTTCACAACAACCGCATGGCATTGCGGCTTCATTTTGCCAACGTAAGATAGATTACTTGGTTGTATTGAGCTAACAAGTGCTATTGGCTTGGTCGCGTTTCACCTTCTGTCTTTAAAATTGTTGTGGTGTCGTGTGCTTGTACGACTTTGGAGGTACGACAGTTTTAAGATTAACTATGAAGGTAATTTAAAAAGATTTCGTCAGATCACCATTTAGATCTAAGTTTTAGATTGGGGCGCGATGAAAAACGTGCTGTGCAAATTGCAATCGCCAAAGCTTGTCAAAGTTTGACCTAATAAAAGGGCACAGATTTTACGTTATGAAGCTTAAGTAGACGTGCAACGGAAAGTAAACACTTGTTACATAGATTCGAGACAGCGGGTCATTTTAAGATAGCCAAGACTATCTTTACACTTTAATGTAAGTGATTTCACGGTTTCAAGCATGGGCTGACAAGTCATTGTTCAAACGGGGAAATTTATGAAATCTCGGAAGCAATGTTTCAGAACAAGCAATCTAACCGACCTGCTGCCTCAGCAGCGCTTGTGTCATCCCTAAATTAAGCGCCGGTATAGGCGACAATCGCCTCTAGTTTATGCCATTTGGTTAAGTAATTTGCTGAGATAAGGGGAAAAAAGTAAAGAAGTTTTGGCAATTTTAATGGTTTTGCTAAAATTAGTATGTGCCGCATTATTATTGCTGAGGCTTCGCTTGTGGAACAAGTTTTAGGCATGAATAAAACCAGTGCAGGAAGCAGTGTAGCATCAAGGTCCCCTGCCCCCTTGGGCTTGGCAATGGCGCTAGCAAGATGCTTTATGATGATGTTTTGCAAGGGCATGATGTTACGACTATCTGTTTCATAAATGTTATGCTTTGCTTGCATTTGTTCAGTTAGAAGACTTCAAATAGGTTTTATATTTATCGAAATGCGGTCCGATTATCTAATAACCTCATAACTATACCCTCGGTTCCGATAGACATTTTATGCTTTACGAATATTTTGAATGAAAACAGTGCAAACCGACTCCAATGAATGCATTAGGTTACTGGTGTTCGCGAAACATAGGTTTGAATAATTGAAGGCTATGGGATCGAATTAAGGCATTGATACCCAACAAAGCCCCATTTTCCCCACTTTTACGCCGGCTGAATAAGTGCATCGTTGGAAGGAAGGGAACTCTGGTCTGCTGCAGCATAAATTGCTACAAGAAGAAATATTTTGAACACAATGCACCAAAACAACATAGTTGGTAGCCGGGAGCATCTAAATTTAACTAGATATGCGGTGGAGAGCAAATTCTTGCAAATTCATACACTTCAGTAGTGTAAACACAGCAGAACGAACGGACTTCGGTAGCATTGTGAATAAAATAAGTGAGGATTCTCCTCTGGCGATTTTGGTATGCTAGCATCATGATAAGAGGTATCCACGAGAATATGTGCTGGCCTCAGAGTCGCTTCAACGACGAAAAGTTTGCAATGCTTAAAGATGAGAATAAACGCATGCAAACTGCCGTCGTAGAGGAGGATGCTGGATCGTGATTTTTTCCACACAAGGAAGAGTTGCTTGTCACTAATGCGAATCGACCCCGGTTGTCATGCTGGTAGGCGAATTGAAGTGCCCACATTGAGAGCAGAGTGAGTTCTGCGTCTAGGAGGAATTAAGTAGGGAGGTCTTTCAAATAAAACATCTTCTGTGTGTTGAAACTCGCCGGTGTTGACGTGGCATATTTGCCTGTCTAGTTAACGCAGCTAATGTTAACATGGAGGCCAAAATGGCTGCAAAAATGATTAACTATCTTCTTGGCTAATGCATTCATCTGCTTTCAAATAATCAAGCGGAGCTCCTCTGTAATTAACTGCCTGAATACCACACCCTAGCGTACATTTCGTAATGCCATAAAGACGCTTTAAGCACGTAGCCATGCTGTAAATGCATGAAGTAGATGGACTTAGGGGAAAACACGACCCTCTTAAGGCACTCTTGATAGTTGGAAAACCGGCCTCAACATAATGCGATAACACATTTAAGATTACTGATTTGATAAACGACAAAGTAAAAGAAACGCATTTTGTTCTTTTATGCAATCTAATGAACAAAATGCTTGTTTTTATGACCCCGGATTAATTCTGCAAAAATCGCAATCAACCCCATAAAAAATGCATGCAAATTAGGCATATTTTGACCATAAATTCAGACAAACTTCATCATCACTAAAGTTCTATGTCCATCCCACATTTTTGACGTAAAAGTTGCTAGACGGTGCAGTGACTAGATACAACAAGTGATCTCATCAAATTCAACATTGGAATTAAGACAATCATTTGCAGCAGCGGTAAACTCCCCCTCCTCCATGGGTTTGATGTCTTAAATGCAAATCTACTAAAAATCTTTGAATATTCCTATTCTTAAATTAGTAGATAAAGAGGGAACTCCATTTGGTAATGAAGAATTCTGCTGATCTCACATTACTTTGATAAGGCTATTGGTGAAGCCTACAGTAAGCTGTGCCCCTATCAATAAAAGTGGAGCTGTGTAAGGGGCTCTCGAATGATGAGGATGCAAGAACCTGAGCGAGGGAGAAGTAGAAACATCTTGTACATTGTAAGAGATGCATAAGGGCGATTCAACGAAAGCTTCGTGATAGCGCTAACATGCAGTTACATTTTCCGCTACTGAAGTGCAGGCTGGCGACGAGTTTAAGTATGAAACGTACGACGACTTGACTCTCATTTGCTCACGATTGCTGCTGTGAAAGCCTTAAAGGTCAACTGAAAAAAGGAAGAAATTTAAGCCCAGAGTAATCATTCCGCTACCTTTGGGTTCAAGGCCAAAGGTCGAAACACGTTCTTAATTCAACTTTTAAAGTAACTTCGGTTAATTCTGCACCCTATTTGATATCGGCGTCACTTATTGTAAGTGAGAAACTGCCATCTGAAGGTGACTCTGCGATTTGTTCTGTATGCCCACCAATGGTTTTTAAAAAAGGGGCGCGCTTGATGTTTTGTTTGGTATAGATCAAAGTAATTCCCAAAGGTTCGTTTCCATCACCCTGTTACGTACGTGTATGACTTGAATTATTGAGGGCGTTTTGCAACATAGTAAAACCCCTGTTTTACAAGATGCCATCATTTTAGGTAGCAGCCTATGGTTGTACCGAAAAGTTCACTAGACTTCAAACAGATGAATGATTAATAGCCTCATCCCAACGATAAAATTAAACTCTGTTACCTGTTGTAAATAACAAAGCTAGGGCACTGTTCCACCTGGGCAATTTAGGTCAAATTAGATTTATCCATATTGATTCGATTCTTATAAACATAGAAGTGAGGTCATTGGAATTAGATGATTTGCGGTTTTTCTCGATCCGAAACTATCTTTAGCATAGACATTGCACAATTCCTTCCATAAGGCCTGTCATATAACAGCACTCTAGCGCATCACGATCAGCTGAACGTTCTTCACAGACAACAGCTATGACCAACCCTAAGATATCACACTGCTTAATCACGCTCATTGCTGGTGTTATGGCATCAAATATGTTCAGTAAGTTTCACACAATGTCTTCTGAAACGTTCCTATCCTAACCACATGGAATGAGATGGCTCGCGTATGTAGCTTTCGGAAACTTACCAGTAAGTGAAGCTGGACACATGTATTCCAAATAGAACAAAGCGACTAAGCCTGGACGCGGGGTGTGGGCCAGCCCACGAGTACAAGGACCAGACAAATTCTAAAATGACCGCCAAACATCAGGTGATCATGTAAACAAAGCAGTACAGTGTGTCCCCATCTTTTGCAGAAACGCAGTTGTTGCGAAACTGTACAGGTACCGTGGGCTGAAGGAGACATCCAACAGACCTTTGTAAAATCGTGCAATTAAGTTGGCACATAACGATTTCACTAGCATGGTAAAAAGCAGGATAAAGTCTTAACTATATAAAACCTACATAACAATTTTTGGCTATACATAATTAACAATAGGAATGTCGATGGCCCATGCAATTTTTGACGATTCGGTACCGGTGCTCGTTATATATAAACGACTGACCGAAATACTCGAGCTAAAATATTAATTAAATTTTTCGTAAATGTCGATTTTGATATCAAGCAAAGTTAAGCAAATACTTGTATGTTAGCTAGCAGTTAGCATCACAGATATGTATCAGCGCTTTATAATAAATAAGAATTTATTGCTTCAATTCAGGGTAAAACGTTGTGGTAGGAGTTTTTTCGTTATTTAATGATACTCAAGCGTATTATAGGATGTATTAAGCATGCTTGCTCTTGGTTTAGAGCCAATTAAGGCTGAACCCGCAGTGGGTATATGATGCTGTCGTTAGTGTTGCGGCGGCCACGTTTCCGGCGAAGTGTGGACGAAAACGCATAGTGCCAAAGAAGACTGTTTTATACTTTTACACAACTAGCATAGGTTATACATTATGCAAGATGTTATAAATAATGATTAGCTCTTTTAAGATTCATTGTTTTAGTGGTCGAGTCTCCGAGCGACACTTACAAACATTAGCATATTCCGAGATATCTATGCTCGACTGTGGTGGTGCGGATGCTCCTTGCTTGTTATTGTTAGCATACTATCTTATTGACATCAGTCATCAACCAACCAAGCTGGCTTTAATAAGTCTCTCATATCCGCATTGAGTTTGGTGACTTTATTCAAGTACACAAATTTGTTTCATTCGAGCCTGAATGGGACCAGTTCATTTTTGTGCAGTTGATTGAATTTTGTTTCGAGACTTCGTGACAAATTTTCTGAACTGACTTTTAGCTTTACTCACCAATTCAGGCGTATGGAGGCAGCACCAGTGGAAGCAATTAATGCTGGCCCTGAAAAAGGGCGCGGCCTATTTACCACCAGACCTCTAATGAAGGATGAAATTATTTTCGAGGAGAAACCTCTCATATGCTGTCAGCTCTCGTGGAACCGCTTTTATGGCTTCAAGAGTTGTGATTATTGCCTTAAACCTTTGGAATCTCCGCAAGATAACGCTCGCAGGCTTTTGCATGACAATAGTTTTGTTCTTCCGGTCATCCTCGGCACAATTGATGGACATTCTCCCGTGCAGACTTTTAGATGTCCCTCATGTGAAGTTGAATACTGCAGTGAGACTTGTCGTGTCGCCTCCGAAAGTGAATATCACGCTTTTGTCTGCTCCAGCGGCCCAAATAACTCTTTTTTCAAACTTGAACAGGAATGGCGAGAGTCTCATCTGCTTCCGGAAACAGGAACCGTGATGCTTCTTGTAAGAATCGCTGCGACCCATTTCAGCGCTCATTTTCGCCAAAGCGAAAGGGCACAGCATATTGTCACAGCGCTTTCTCGATTTGTTTCGTCCCCCATCGTTGGATTGCCAGAGAGTAATGAGTGTGACCCATGCAGTTCTGCATCACTAACACACATAATGCTGGGACCAAAGTTCTCGGGTAATCTTGCACGATTGCATATCCTGTTTATTGAGGTCTTGAAAGAGATGGTTCAGCGAATAGGGGCTCCCCTTTCTCCAAATGAGTTCCCGAATGTGTTGCAACAGATTGGTTTGGACCAATTGCTCTCAGAGTACGGCTTCAGCTCTGCTATGTGTCTGATAGGACGGAATGGTCAGGGGATTGGAGCGAGCTCCTTAGGTGCCTGGGGCAAGTCCATGGAGAAAATACTTAGCAAAAGAGGTGATCCAGTGGAAGAAAAGCAGTTTTCTGTCTTTCTTGATTCCCTTTACGAGAGGCTCGAAGAAGTAGCTGGTGATCTCCTTAATGTTGAGGGTGTCGGACTCTATGAACGTCAGAGTAGGTGTGACTCAAATTGCCTCGTCAAATATGCCTGTAATTTTTTCAGGTACAAAGCTATTTTGCTTCAGCAGTATCGTGAATTAGCATAGCGTTTCTAGCAATTTTTTTGTTGCTACTGGAGTTGGTGTTTGGTATGCAGTTACGCTGTTTTATGACAAAATTACTTATTCGATTGGCTCTACTTTTGAAAATAATTTTTGGCACAAGGTGCCTCCTCTATTTGGATAGGAATTTTACACATCAGTTACATAGCTTATGTTCTAGCATGTCTGATTCTGAAATTGAGTTCAAATTTTAGGCCTTATTAATCATTCCTGCGAGCCAAACGCTTCCGTGCGCTTCGAGTTGGGAACCAACGAACTGTCAGTAGTTGCTACTGAAGACATTGTCAGTCCGGGTACGGAGATTACGATCTGCTACTTTGACGAATGCATGCTGTTACGAGGCGTGCACTCGCGGCGGAAGTACCTGCGTGAATACTACCTCTTCGTTTGTAAATGTCCTCGGTGCATTCGAGAAAAAGATGACAATGCAGAAAGTGATACAACTGAGGATGAAGATGACGACTACGAGTCAATGGACGAGTGACTTTTGTAAACAATGTCTATCGCTAGACTATTCTGTCTTCAATTTTCATCTGATTGCATGTGGCACTTTGTCCGTCTTTAAATCTTTTCACGATGGGAAATGTTAGTGAATAAGCGAGGGAAACTATTGTAGTCTCATTCAGGTAGTTTTATTTTAAACAGTTTCTGCATGAATATCAGAGCACTAGAATTTGGGTGTTTTTTAAAAGCCATTGCATTTCGTTTTACGCGACAGGACGAAAGAGGTGCTCGGGTGACACTCCTGTTAGTCTTTTGAAGTTACATACCATTTGACAACGTCAAATTTAGGACTCGGGCCACACCAACGCTATTATTTTAGCTAGTTCCAGTGTAACAGACTGCTGCTTCTCGGAGTTAAGCGACACCGACAAAATAAATCCACTGCGGAAGAGCGCTGACGATTACAGATCAGGGCGGCCGAACGGAAGCACGAACAAACCGCCAACTGGAGTATCGCAAAACCCATCTCCGTTTGACGACGTCGAGGAAAGTTCACTGCCGCAGAAACTATGAGAGCTTCTGGCGGTGCTCGCCTCAAAATGGGCCTCCAACGGACTGTCAATGGCTAATGAGCTCCTCTAATTTTCTATGCTTACATTAACCCGCAGGAGATTTCAACAAAACAAACCACCCGATATGACACTATTGTGCTTTGACAAGATTCACTTTAGCTTGTTAATCATTTTTCACCCTGAGGATAACAAAAATACGAAACGTCGCCAAGGTCACTCTTATTTCTTTGGCAAAGTTGTACTCTGGGCAGAAGATTTGGATGGACGAGTGGTGGTAAACCAACTTTGCATGAAATTACTGCATAGGTTGGTCAGAGTTCACGGCCTATTTTGTCACTATTTGGTGGAGAGGTGTGCGTTATCACACGTGTGGAAATGCACAATCATTCGATTGATTCTATGCCGTCTACACAATTGGGAACAAGAATCGATAGGTTAGAAGAATGGATATGAGGCAGAGGAGTACGCGAATTATAAATCCAATAGGAAGGACGAAGGCGAAGAGTATGGAGGCGGCAAGTGCAGAGGCTGCCAGAGAGATGGAGGATGATGAGGTCTCGTCTGCGGTGCAGGCGTTCTCCATGTCAGTTGCTGCCTTGCCGTGGAGCCGATCCTCTAAAACCTCTAGCGGACACCAGTAGGCTCCTTTACCACCACACAACTCCGTGGTCAAGGGAATGAGCTGCGAGGGAGAAAGCTTGCTCTCATTGTGGTAGAAGAACCGCAATGCGAGCTCACCGTGAACAAGCCTGTGCAGCTCCACTATAACAGCGCTCGCGTAGGGAGGCAAGATACTAGAAGTAGCACGTTTCAAAAACGCCTTAGCCTCTTAATACCTACACACGCTAAAGGCAGGATGGCAGTTAGTAAATCAAATTAATGTAGTGTTAATCATGAAAAAGCAGGTTTGTTTGCACATTGCACCAGCATAACCTATTCAATTGCCAAAATAGACGCAACTGGGTGAAGTCTAGCGAGTTACTTGGCTTTGTTTGGGAAGCAGTGCATCGGTAACATTAGAAAAAGCTAAAAAATTGCGGTGAGCACCTACTTATTAAATGCACCCAGGTGACTCAGGAAGGCAGTTAGGGTGGAATCATGGGCGAAATAAGCGAATAATCGAGAGTCGCTGACAATAGGGATGTCCAAGGCATCAATATCTGCAATTTCAAGGGGTAGAATATTCTTCTCACCAGGCGAGATTCGACTCTTCAGCGTGAGGAGAACATGCCGCCAAAGGGGACCTCCACGAAAAAAAGTTTGGGCGGGTGAAGAAAACAGTAACTGTTGTCTAAAGCTCAATGCTCGGTGGCAAGCCGAGGCAAGATCGGAAGTGAATGGCAGTGATTCTCCCTTTGTGTCACGCTCCAGCTTGTCCCACGCATGTATTGATTCACACAAATCCCATAACTTGGGGAGATACTTGTGCAATGAATCCGATTCAAAATTAAATTCTGCATAAATTCAAGATGACACTGTCAGCTATTTCATGCAGTTACTAAGCTACTACTTCGAAGCAAGAATCTAAATGTTTGAAGGCAATAAATAACCAAATTTTACCTGTCAATATTACAATCAGTTAACTGCTAGGGTTAAAACTTTTTTCGTGCAGAGCTATAGTTTCCATCAGTACGTTGCATACGGCGAAAAAGGCTATGAAGAGCACTTGCTAACTAAGAAAACACTCCCTTTCGATTGGAAACAGAACAGTGATTTGAGAAGACATTGATTAAATTCAGTGACAACCGATGTTCAATGGAGTTGAGTGATCAAAAAATTAAACCCGAACTCAAAAAATACCATTACTGTCTGTTAGGAAACAGATCTCAACCCACCTGTAAAGTTATTGAGGTCATCAAAAAGTCCTCGCATACGATTAATAAAATCTCTAGTAAGATTTGAAGTAAGTGCCTTTTCATAAAGCTTGTCGAATGCTGAACATGGATAGGACATTTTCAGGAGATAATCGTGTCGCTTTGGAGATGAGAAAACAGCCGGGAGAACTGGAAGCTTAACCTCCTTGCTGGAGTCGAGACCAAGACCAAAGTAAGTTGCAGAAAGAATTGTTCGTTCGGTTCCCGTACTTCGAATGTGGACATCATTCTAACAGGTAAAAGTCTCAGAGGTTCCAATTATACGCAACAGACCATGGCATATCATAGCAAAAGAGCCTTGGTGTAAAGAATGAAAACCACAATATTTAACCCCAATGACAACTACTAAGCAAGCTCACTAGTTTATTCTGTAGGAATGCCATTATGTATAGAAAACGAAATCTTAGAACACCATTCCGTAAAGTCCAGTTGAGATGGCGAATATGGTAAGCACAAATACAACGCCCACCCGCTTAAATCCTTTCCATGTTAACAAACTCGAATAGCGTCTTCCAATAAACCTTCCCAATTCAAAATGCTGCCTTGCTCCAGTTTCGGTCAACTGGCAGCGCATTTTCATAAATTCTTTGGGGTAGCCAGGATGGCGGAGGATGTGACAAGGATATCTTTCACCATGCCGAGCCAAAATGAATACGGACAGTAAACTTTCATTACCGCCAAGACCATCAACAAGGCAGGTTACGAGGAAAAAGAGCAACCCCCACTGAAGTATCATCAAGACGCCTGCTGAATCGAAAGACAAAACAATGCTACACACATTCTTGAAAACGGACAGAAACCCGTCCTCCTATGCAAAAGGAATAGTGACCAATATAACATGTGCAACAAATGGAATAAAGAGATTAGACCGATTTCCTACAATTTCAGCATTCTAGTCATAGATACAAAGATCATGAGTTATGAAATAGAGGAAGTTGGCGTGATGAGTCGGCTAGGAACATTGAACAAAAACCACTGATAAATGGCAGTTACGAATAAACTTGGCATAAATACAAAGCCGCACAATCCCCTGGACAACTGCAACTTCTGCACTTTCCATTACGATTATCAGTTTCATAGTACAGCACAAAATGATGGAAAATACTTGTAAATGCTGCCCTAACAACTTTCAGAAATGACAAAATGCCTGTGTTTTCAGAATTTGAACAGAACGCCCGCAGTTGAGAACACCAACTCAAAGGAAGGATGTACGAGACGCAAATTGGAGAAGCCACAGATCTTCTCCCATCACGACACTCGACCATCCAACCATATATTCCTTTAGCTTAACGTGATCAACTTTTCCAAGGCTATATTTAAGGCGTAAAACGAAATCGTATCGATATCACAGAGGACATATAAGGTTACGGCCAACGGTAATTTGACAATAATACATAACCAAGTTGCCAAGCCCTTTATCGCTAGTAAATCATTAATCGATTAAATTAGATATTTTCTAGTCAAAAACACGGCCTAGAAAGATTAAAACGCGGCAACACATCCGGGAAACATTGTTATCTTATTGATTCTTGTGTGAATCAAGCATGGTGAAAGAGTGTGCGATTTGTTCAAAATAAGTGCTTATAATATAAGTAATAAGCAGGAAAGCAGTGAGGGTAATGAATTATCATTCTTGTACTTGACATTTAATGTTTTATCACTTCATTTGGTCTGGCGCTTAATGCGCTATTATTGTAGTCGTTCTCCTTGCGCTATCGCTGGTCTTTAGTTTTCCTGACGAACATTAGTTCTATAAAATCGCTCACATACCTATGCTTAAAGGTGTTCAAGTTCTCGAACTAGCTGGTTTAGGCCCAGTTACAATGTGCGGACTTATTCTTAAGGATTACGGTGCATCAGTACACCGGATTCTCAATCCCAATGTAAGATTGAAGTTTTAGACATCTATTCGAAGGCTCCATTCATTGATCACCTGCTTTCTCCTGGGAAACCATCTGTTGCTTTGGATCTCAAAGTTCCTTCTGATCGTCAACGACTCTTGGATCTGTGTAAGAGCGCCGATGTACTCTTGGACCCTTACCGGCCTAGGTGCCTCGATCGTCTTGGTTTTGCTCCAGACGTCCTTCATAAGGTTAACAGGCGGCTAATTTTAACGCGCATATCAGGCTATGGGCAGCCTGGTACTTTCTTATAACCATAACATATTTTCTCAGAGGCTAGTCAAGATATTGATTATTACCTCCGCCCTGGTCATGATATTAATTACCTTGCCGAATCTGGAATATTGTGGTTTTTTACCGGAGATCGTGGGAAGTCCGTATATCCCATAAATGCCATTGCGGATATTGCTGGCGGTGCTTTCCCAGCTGTCAGCGGCATTTTATTGGCCCTTTATGAAAGGGAGAAATCAGGCCTTGGCAAGGTATGTTCAGCCTTCAATCGCGATTGCTTCCAATAATTTTACTTTTGATCGAAAGCTCTTTGGTAATGCGAAACCTTCTACCTCTTTAGATCGTTGACGTTAGTATAACTGACGGAATATCCTACGCATCGACCTACTTCATGGCATCCTGCCAGCTAGGTCGTCAGAACGAATTTAATGTGTCCTCTTCTCTGATGCACTGGCACAGTCTTGCACGTCAATGTGCGAATCTTCTTGATGGCGGTGCTCCATTCTATCGTACCTATGAAACCAAGGACAAGAAGTTTGTCGCTGTCGGTGCTTTGGAACCTCACTTCTATGCAAATCTTTTAAGGGTGTGTATTCTACTGTTTACGTTCTCTAGAAATATGGGGTTCAAAGGATGCCTGGCAAATACTGGAAGCCAATTTGAGAGCTTTAGTTTGGTCTTTTAAAATGCAGGTTGTTGGCACTCTTGTGTCACTTTTCAGTCACCTTCTTAGTTTAGTGCCCATTCTGGGCAATGTGTTTCGTCTCTTTTTGGTAGCTCTTCGGCTATTTCTTTAAACAGTAAAAAAAATTTGGGTTTTGGGACTAGGGACTTGTCGTTTTCGTTGATATTCCGATAATTTTCATTGGAGTGATTCACTGTAATAGCTCTTATCACTCTCACAGAAACGACCCTTAAAATTATTGCAGAAAACACTTATTACTAACTCCACTTTGTCGTATTCTGCCAATTGTAAATGCCGTTTGCGCCAAAGTTTTCAGATTTATTGTTATCTACACTCAGCGCATACTAGCTTTTCTATCATAGCTATCTCTTGTTGAGGCGCCATGTGATGATCGCATACCCCACCTTCACCCTGAATTCACCTTATTTATAGTACTAACTATAGGCTGTATATGACTTCTCTTATAACGGAAAGTAAATGTGGTTGCTCGGCTTCCCTAGCCATTAGGTCTAACGGAGAAGTATGCTCCCCAGCTAGATCGCCATGCCTGGCCTCGAATTGCGGCCATTCTTTCAGGCATTTTCGTGAGTGAGACGCGTGACTACTGGTGTCAGGAGACGGATTTAGTACGTTCTGCTTGTCTTTCGCCTGTCTATTCACTAAAAGAAGCTATGGATCGAAGATCGAAGCATCTTTACCGCGATCTCAACTTCTCGTTCTCACCGCTAGCCGGCGCTACTCGAGACGAAGGTGGCTTCAGCATTCGCATACCTCGACCTTGTCCCCTCCTTTCCGACTTTGCCGTCGATTAGTATCTTTTATTTTATTCACTTATATTTCTTATTAGTATCAGGTATGGCTAACTCGTGTTTGCGTTACCTATTATTTTAAATAAAGCAACTGCTTTTTAGTTCTTCTCTATTCAATCGTTTTCGTTTGCTAGAGTTTTTTTAACCCGTCAAGGAACTTTGCGAACTTATTATTAATTGAGATCTGATCCTCCTATTGGGTCCGGTGTGTTGAAATATGGGCACGTTGACGGTTTCATCTTTTTACTCAAGTCATTGCGTCCCTTCTATTCTTTTCAAGAATGAGAAATGACGTTAATGGGAGCATTTGGATGCGGGTTGATTGGTTTTGGTCCAATTGGGACTCTCTTTTGTCTCGTTGTTGCCCGTGACCCTCTTCAAGTTATCTTCTTCACTCTAAGGTACGTCCCATTTGGTTCACCTCTTTCTGACGCCGTGTTCTCGGCTCTTTTTATGTTTGAGTACAAAAAACGGGCTTTTATGTTTTACTTCCTTAAAATTACCGGTTAATTGTCTAGTAGAAGTTTTATTCGAATCTATTTAGTTGTACACACAGGTCAAAATGTTGCGTTATACTTATTAAAGATAAAGGAAATGCAATTGTGGGATTCAGACAAACATTTAAGATGTGTCTACGTCTTATACATGCGTATTTGCAGCTTATTTGCTATAAGCCACAACATCGACTTTGTTCCACCTCTTGTCAAAAATTATTTTTCTTCTGTTTTCCTATTCCTTATTGACTCGCGGAAGTATGCCTTGGATAATCAAGGCCATATCCTTCTGCCTCAAACATGTGAAATGTTTCCATTCAAAGCATTCTTTTGACCCTAGAAAACTTGACCATTTTTTTAATTTTAGTTATTTCCTATTATTCTGCATCTGTAGTGCTTTCTTTTGGCTGATTGGGCTACTGGCAGCATCTGTGATTTGGTTTGCTGCAATCCCTCTTCGAGATCAACTTGCATTCGGATTGATCGCTGCCTGCGCTCTTCAGGAAATCATGCGGTTTCTTTTCTTTTTCCTTGTATCGTAAGTTTTTATTTCACGTGAACATTCACCCGTCTCACGGCATCCCGTAGGCGTTCGGCTTCAATACTTTTGCAAATTACTAATGGTTTGGAAGCTCATACTTGTCCTCACTTTAATTACGCTTTCCATACTTTTATACATGGTTTTCATTTAAAATAAGCTGTTGGTTTCACTTTTGAGTTGTTTTTTATTACCTGTTTCATATTATTACTCAGAAAAGTCGAATATAATCTTCAGAAGATGGTAGAGGCTGAGGCTCAAGACGCTATTCATTTGAATTCCCCTGGTGAAATTAATGTCGCTGTGAGGTGTGCTAGTGATTATGTGAAATGTGGCTCAATATTTGATCTTCAAACACTGGCTTTCACCTCGGGACTCAGTTTTGGGTGTATGGGTAGTATCATCGAATACGTATACATCTTCTATGGCGCAATTGGACCGGGAACACTATTGAAGGGACCCAATCCTGGCTACCTCTTCATTTTTGCCGGTAAACACGCTTTGATGTAATCATCCGTTGAATTTAAACGTTTTCTCGTTCGATGCAGTGGTCTTTATGACGCTAAATTGCCCTCGATATACTTAATCTTTTGTGTTTGGTCTCTTGCGAAGTTATTTTAAAAAATTCCCTTCTGCAACGCCCTACTTTGTAAGCATTTCTTGTCACACACTAGTTTTATTTCAAACACACTCCTTGTAATTTCGTAAGGTAAGGCTGTTCGGTAGGGAATGGTTCTGACGCGTAGCTAGTTTTATCCTCCTTATGACCTTTTTCATCATCATATATCGCAAATTCACTTCTCTTGGTTCGAGGCTACCATATTTGGCTATGTGCCACTGTTGCGGTTATTATTACTAGCACAACCTGAGATGAGATTCTCTCTTCTTCTACAGGTTTGAACTCTTTTTTCATGGGTTTGCTCCAGGTCTCATGGTCCATTATTCTCTTTCGAGCCTTTCGTCTTCGTCTCTACATCGACATTGTGGTGGTATATGTCACTCACCTGGCTCTTTCAGTACTGGTAAAATTAATTTTATCCTTTGAGTACGAAATTGAATCTCTTGTATCTCCCAAGTAACTGTTTAATCTGACAAACTCTAAATATCGGTATACTTTGTAGTTAATCCCACGAATTTGCTCTAGTTAAATAGGTAACATTTGGCACTTGTAGGCAACCGGTCAGTTTAGGCTTTTTTTACTAAATAAAATATGATGACTGAAAGCTTTCCAAAATATTTTTTAGCGATAAGCATTGGGATGAAATACTCTGCTATGAAATTTGCCTTTTCGAAAGGCCTAGACTGGAGAACTAGCTGTCTCCCTTGTCAATTAATTTTCCAGTTGCTTCATGTGTGAGTGTATCATTTGGAGAGTGTAAGAGGAGAAGATGAAAATGAGGTAGCAATGCCATTCGATTGTAAATGTTGGCAATGATACTCTCTCATGGATTAGCTTTGCTGAAACATGCAATAACACATTCGTTCGCTTAACAAGCATCGAATTAAGAAGGCCACCTCCCACTCCAAGTTATTCAAACTGCTATCAAATATTGTGAATGAGTTATTGGTCTTGGAAGTCTACTGCCTTCTAATGCCCAGCACGTGAACCTCCTTTGCTTCTTGCCTTCCAAGACTTTTCTGGCTGACACGCTGCCCACACCGAATGCAACCAAAAGCGACTGACATTAATTCGCATCTGATTCGAGCAACAGTAATGGGAAATACTGCGTGATAGAAAATGAGGCATCTTCCGAAACACAATGCATCATTATCCAATGCCTCTCCAATGTTTAAACCATTTTTGGCTATACGTATTGGCACCGCACGCAGCACCTCACCAAGCAGACAGACTTGATTCTCATTAGATCCAACTGACAGCGAAATGGCACAAGTCAATACTAGACAAAGTGTACAAGTAGGCCTCTGCATAACTACCTTAGCATATGAATATAAATGACCATGTCTTCCAAAAGGGTCTATAATTTACAAATTATCTCAAAGACCTATACCAAAACGCATACGAACCATTTTGAACACCCAATATGTACTCAGCTATCATCCGCAAGTGTTGTTAAAATGCATCGCGACAAGCTCCTGTTTCGTATGAGGGACGACCTTCGAACGCATCGGATGTGCTTGATGTTTTGGAACGTTAAGAATGACGGAAAAGTAGTAAAAAGTGCAGTGTACATACTTTTAATACTTATAGTGATTAGTGCTGTAAACTATACCAATCATCACACATTACTTTGACTATTCATTTACCTTGGATTTACTCTCTACCCAGTCCTTCTGAGAACGGATGCTAGCATGATTTAAACTAGAGCTAACCCATATCACTATCTCTTCTGCTACTCATGGAAGAGTATCGATAATTTTGCTTCATGGTAGACCCTTTTAAACGAGTGGTCGCACCCGGCACCTGAGCTCATCTGTGTGACAATCGTGATATCCGCCTTTGTCTTCAACTCATACGCGTTTTTCGCTGCTGGTGGTCGTCTGCCTTTCGGTGCAAGGTTCTCTCCACAGACTACGAATTCGCCTCTCTTCTCCGCGTCTCAAGCTATTACAACTACCCCAATTAGTTGAATTATGGTACACTTATCTCTGATGTGTTTATTTTATTATTGGGATCTACCGAATTTTGTATTTACCTGTATTTATGATTTAATTATCAATGCTGTTCCGTTTGACGTATTGGGGATTTGAGTTTCCAGGCTTCAGCATTTTTTGAAAGCGTATGATGCAAATAAATCAAACTGGATCACTAGCTTGTATTTTTGGACTTTCTTTGCGCGGAAAGCAACTCATCGGTATTCTCTATCTGGTTTAAGCATGTTGAGGTGTCATCCCGCATCATTAACGGATTAAGTGCTGCCTTTACGGAAAGTACTTATACAATTTAGAGCTTTGGGCGACCATTTTGGTGCGTACTTTGGAGGTCCTATAGCGTGTCCTGTAGTAGCTTCTAGGGTCGATGAATGCAAGTGGCTCATTGACATAAAAAAATGTGCAAAGGATTTGGATGAAAGGTACTTTGGTCGACTTTTGAATCCGTGTTTCTTGATATTTAAAGCACCGGTGAAGATAAACGGTGTTCCTTTGTCTTGTAAATTTATAATTATATGACTATTCGGTTCACTTTCTGGAATACCTAAATTTTCTACTACCAGTGGTTTTGATCTTAGTGGCTCCTCATTCATTTTGATGCGATGCTTGGCAGGCTAGGAGGCAGAAGGTCAGATTCACCTATCAGGCAGTTTACTAGCGCAATAGCTCTTCATTGCCTAAGAATGAGCTTTTAAATGAAAGTTTTCCTATTTAAATCTTTATCATGCTTTCCTTCCAGAGAACGGGTAGATTAATGAGTTTTCATCTGCTAATTTGAATCCTTTGAAGCTGTTTTGTAGGTAAGCAAGCGGACTTACTCTTCACTAATTTTATATTTCACAGTCTACAAGCCCTCAAGACAATTAAAGTGTCTAGCTGGTCTTTGCGTGTTCCACGATATACCTGGTGGTAAGTCTTCACCTCATTCATCGTGCTACTTCATATGGTCTACGAGAGTTGCCAAGGCAGTCCACATCTCTTTACCAACCAGTGAAATATAAGCTGGTGGTAACAAGAAGTTGTAGGTCCCAAGGTCTGGCAATTCAAACGTGTAGGTGTATGGAATCTTCAAAGATCCGCAGGCGAAGTCATCCGAGCCACCCGCGGCAGCATCTGAAGTAATGTCAAGACTGGTCTTTAAGATACTTGTTTTATTTCTGAGGAAATTGTTGGAAAGGACTTATGTTATTATTAGTTCCGTAAGTTAATTATGATAATGCTACCTTAGCAAACATCACGACACGTCATCACGTCGAAAATTAATGCCAAATTTTCTGAACGTACAGAGGAGATCAGCAGCGCTTCCGGTCGAGTACACGTCTCCGTGTTGCTTCCAGATTCTGTATATGATCTTCAGGGTCAGTCGCAGCTGTTGATTTTTAATGAGCTTGATTAGTTTGCTTTAAAAGTGCTTAAAATTATAAAACAACAAAAGTTGTTTGCTTTGCTTTATTTCGGGATAAAGATGGCACTCCTCTCGAGTCATCTTCATTGTAAGTCATAAATCCTTGTATACGAGATACAAATTTTACAAAAGCTTACAATAGTCTGGTTGCATTTATTGCATAAAGCTTCATTCCTAAAGTGCTAATTTAGTAGTAGAAAGCATTAGGCATGTTTAACTACCAGTATTCAGACTGTGGTCATGACCCAAAGGCCAGCCCATTCGGCAGAAGCGAGATGACTGGCTAAGTGAATCCCATTCATCCAAGTATTCAATCGAGGTATTGCAATAGCAGCCTAAATTGTTGACATTCCCTCCGTACCTTAGCATTGTATGCTAGGCTAGAGTTTAGTGTTTTGTATCCTTTGGGGGCATAGAAAAATGGGTCTACTAGTGTCTGTTAGGCTCGCCAACCATTCATGTGTATTATTTGACTCTTCGGTACATTGTATGGTGATTCTAAGTCATCTATTTGAGGTCAAAAAATAGCAGACTTTCCATACAGTACTTATTTAGAAGTTAAAGTCAATTATTCCTACCAATTCATCGTAGTTGGCTGGATGGAAGCCTCTCTGAAATCCATACGGTGTCAGGATCAACTGGCCATACGAGTGGAGTGTAATGAACAGCTTTGTTTGGTTTGCGATTGAAGTTAACTTTTTCACTACGCTCTGTGTCTCTGCTTGATCGGCTGCGCTAAGGCCTCTGAAAATTTCACCACATGGATTTGATGAAGATCCGCTGAAGCCTAGATCATGCAAGCAATCGCACAGTGATGTATGTCCAAAATGGAACATCATGTATCTATTCTCCAGCATTGGAGCATTTTCAAAATAAATGAATGGTCAAAAAAAGGTTTCCCATCACTGAACTTGTTAGGACTAGCCGAAGTCCCAGTTTTATAGTTAAACCAATCAAGCAGACTTGTTTTGTTTAAGGTCACTGCTAGAATAATGTATTACTTTATTGAGCATTGTAATTCCTCTATCAAGCTGGTAGAATTAGCTCCTCCGTGGAAAACACCTAAAGATCCTTGAAACTAGGGAGCTGAGTGCAAGCGTGACTGTCTGTTTGCTGCTTCCACTTTTGGGCCCTAGTTGGAAGTCGCTATTCTTTTATAAACCTTTCAATGCATGAATAAATGGAATACAATTGTAATAAGATACTGTTGTGATGCATGAATCGTAGTTCTGGAGCCATTCAAGTGGGATTATGAAAGCCTACATTTAGTTGCATTCTTCGGTTTTCGTAAAAAGGGGCCAGATCTCGGATGCACTATACGCCCTATAGCATTTCGAGAATTACGGGAGATGTGATTTCGGAGTTTTGTAAAAGTGGCTTTTAAAAGTGGAATTAGAAGCTAAGGCAGTGTTATTTCTGAATTGCTGCTGCAATTGAACGCGATCAGTCTATTGAAGGAAAATGCGATTACGACTTGTTAAAAATGGAGTGTTTAGGCTAAGTTGGCTACTGATGATAAAAAAGTGGACTTACCCCACTTGAAAGGAAAGTTCCGATTTAGGTCAACACCGTAGCAGTCACTCTGTGCAGTCTTATTGCGATTCTTTCTCCAGTAACGATTCTAAATGTTATATTTATTTGAATATGATGCACTTAGTCGTTTTGCCTAATCTTAAAACCTCAGTTTGATAATACTGTTTGTACTTTGCCGAAGCCTATTGCTATAATTCAGCGCACAAATAATGAGCCTATTTCACCAAATGGTTTATGTGACAGCGGCGGGCAACTTACTCTCGTGAAGCTGAATACGTAACCGTCGGGGTTAATTTCAGGTGCAACGTAGAACTGATATTTCTGGAGCAATCTGGATCCCTCCCACGAAAGGAGCTAGGTATTGAAAATTACAAACATTCAAGAATGCATACTTATTTGCTAGGAGGGTTATTCGCGCCTAACCTAACCTTAGTAACAGCAACTAGCAAAGCGGTGACGTTTAATGGTACCTCAGTGGATTTCGCTAGCCACATAAGTTGGCTGAGGACAATTTACCGCATCGAACTTAAAGCCTTTGAAATGCATTATTCGCTCACGCAAGTCACATGCGTTACTCGTGTCGATTCAGTAACCAATTTAGCCTATGTCCTTATTGCTAACGTGCAAGTAGTTGTATGTATCAAAAGTCGGTCGGTGGCAAAAAATGGAGCAGTTCATCGAAGTCGACAAGAGCTTCCTACCCTATCAATAATGTAGAGGGCCGAGGCTGGAGCGATCCACTCACGAGCATGAATTCCTGCGTCAATCCAGATAATGGGGAGCGACTTGTTTGCTGATACCTTTAAAAGTAAGGTTAGCTAAAGTTGGATTAAAATAGTAAAGCTTGAAGCTAAGGTGTGTGACCTACTGAGACGATGCATTGCTGAAGAGCTGTGAAGTAATTTTTGACTTTTCGACAGATACTTCAGAGTATCGTCGTCAGTGAATGCCATTTATAGCAAATTGACTAAAGAAACCAAAAAATGGATGTCAGGTGTGAATGGAGGTGTCCACTATGCCTTTTACTTTGCTTGCGGTATGTCTGTAGTCACGAATTGTCATGGTGATCTTTTACCACACTTTAAAGAGTATATGAATGGAGCACTTTGTTTGATGGTCAGAATTTGTGGTCAGCATTGGACGAACACACTGCTTATCCCGGGTAAGCTGGGCTTTGGGCCATGCCAAAAGTTTCTTCCCTTTCCTTTCCATCTGAAAATATTTATTCAAACCAGTATTACGCCTTATAATGGAGTCTCGAAACGCTTCAACGGTATTTAGCAACTAAGTTTAAGTGTGAGTATTCGAACTAACGTTTGCACGGGTTCTGTAAGAAAGGTGGCAAATTTACTGCCACAAGCACATCGCCTACACAGTGGATGAGTCTTTCAATCCGAAATGTCAATAAACCAGTGCAATGTAAATAAAAGCCTTACAGAGTCAAACAGTCACAAAAAAATCGGCAATCTCACCTTTAAAAGCCATATGGACCTTCCTTGTGTAGTCTTTCCAAGTTCTTCAAGAGTTGCAACTTTGGCCTTTTTGACGATTTCATGGAGGTTATCCTCCATCTAAGGACATTCAAAGCATCATCTCATTTCCACTTTAAACATTTCTAATTTATCTCTTGCATTTAAATGCTTCTAGTGTACCGTAATGTTCGGAAAATCATCACGGATCCAATAATTGACAATTTTAGATTCGGCTTTTCTCCTCTTAACCGTGGTCGTTGAAGTCACCAGGACGGAAATAAGGTTGCTTATTTGGTAGCTCCTATCCTCTAGCTATTCACGTGCGTTGAATCTACTATGGACTGCATTTCCATTACATGGTTTGGAGGCGTCAAACAGAAGAGGTGATTGCAATGACAGTGGGCTTTTCAATGGGATACGTCGTTTGATTCGCGTCTGGAACCGAAAATTATGGATCATTTTGACAAAAGGGGTATTTTATTTGTGTAGTGAAAATGAAATATTTGATGGTTTTGCTGCTAATTCTAGGTTTTCACTTTGCTGTGCTGCCAAAAGCCAGAATTTGTTCACTCTAGTTACAAAAGCAGCTTTCATCCAGAGGAATTGTAAGATTTGGGGTAGTGTTAATGAGGCCAAAAGTCAAGCATGCAATGTCGTATCCAATCAGTCACTTAAAAATATACAGCGAAGTGCAGATCATGAAGATTCTGTTGTCTTCCAAATTTGTCCAATGCACCGAAGTGTGTTCTTATTTAGGCATTTAAAATTTGCTCACTTCACTTACTACATTGAATGGAAAGTAAGCATCATGAGACATAGCGTGGCCATCTGATCTGCGTGAGCGGATTCTTGACATTGCTCTCATGTTGGCCCGCTTCGAGCGTCCGATGGACCTAAATGATGGGTGTAGTACCGGCAAACACTGTGAACATCGAAATTTGTCAACTTCTGTAGCTGTTCCATGCAATGGGATCAGTCGTTTTTTACTAGGGCTTAATAGAATACGGAGACTTCATTGACTGCAAACAAGATGTGGACATCTAGCATCCCATGAGTCCCTTACTAACTGATTTGATGAGTGACGATTTTGTGTTCGAGAACTGGATATCCATTTTACAAGTGCACCAAAATTTACAACCTCTGGGTCGCCTGGCACTCCGGCATTTTACATGATTTTAGCCAGTTATTTTTCTCCAAGTGATGCATGAATCATCTACTGCATGTTTACCTTTCTACGTCGCTATCAATAAGTTGTGCAGAAACTTTGTGAATACGGATAAGCCGTTTGAAATCTTTCAGGGCTGATGGTCCCACCATGATATCTATGTAGCCTCCACCCGATCGATATGACTGAAGGACGTCAAATTGCATATTGTCTTCCCCTGCCTCCAAGGCCTCTAGGAAAGATTTTGCAATATTCCTTGGAATCCGAAGACGATAGATACGGTGTCTACGGGTGAAGCAAGAAAAAGTGGTGCATTGAGAACATACAATTGCCTACTTGACATTGACCGCATTTGATCTCTTACGCTAACAAGGGATCATAATGTGCGCTTACACAAGCACGCAACTTGTCATGACAGTATTACCGTGGATATATTCACTACTTATTGTTTATAAAACTTTTCATGCCATTTAGTTGCAAAACGAGATTTAGCATTTTACAGCCCGTCAAACGTGTTCGTACTGAGTGGTTGCAGTTTCAATGCGCTAAATGAGCTCTCTCCCCAGACTCGAATATCCTGCTTTAAAGAAATTTTTCTATTGCACCACGAGTAGAAATTGAATGAGGTGGTTTATCTTAGCACATTCGCGATGAAAGGTTAACTGTGGTCTCCTCAATCATGAAAAACCACACATACTCACCGTCGAAGTGAACCAACATCGCAAAGTACAAAATGCAGAACTAGAGAGACTGCTACCACCTTGATCCAATTCAGCATACTGCAAGGCCTGGTCACTCTTCGCTCCACCTCCAATTTCACTCCAAAGTATTTAAGTGAACGCGCGTGACATGGCGATTGGGCCGAGCGGTCCGCAATGTTTATTCGTACATTCTGCCGTAATGCCTACGAGAGTGTAAGGCGGCTACACCAATACCAAAGTGAGATGCCCTGATGACCCCTAAGTGAAAACAATGCAGTTTATTGCATCAGACGCCAGTCACCCCTCACTTTATGCAAAAATGGTCCTCAAGCTCAAATACACGTCAAGGTGGTCTTGTGATGAACAAAGCATTACAATTGTAGTGCATCTTAATGAATAAATCTGAACTATGGAAGTTGGTTTTCCTAAATTTTGATAACTCTTGCTCATGTTTTGAAAAAAAGTAAAGGGTAGTTCCAATCGAAGATATTGCGGAGAAAAATTGTGCATTTTAGTTTCATTTTTATGTTATATGTAAATAAGCCTGTTGGTTTGGAGTTCTCGTAGGAGTTCAGTCATTTTTAAAATTGCCGCTCTTAAGTGTCGGGCATTAATCTAATGTGGTCCTTTTATGCAGACCATTTTAAATTGTTAATAGTGCATTGAAAGGGAGGACTGTAAGTGCTGTTGACTGTTGGATTTTTTTGGGTCTACGGTCTACAAGTAATCACCTTTCACCAGGTGGAATGTTATCACCTGAGAAGCTGGCAGCAAAAACATTGGTCAGAATCACTGGAGTTAGTCGTTACAAAGTGGTTGATGGAAAGTTTTCATTCCTCAATGAATATGTATGCTAACATAAGTCCTTATGCTGCTTCACTTTAAGCGTACCTAATTGTGTGGGAGAAGTCGAATTCCGCATTTTTAATCCTCTCCAATGCTGACTTCAATAAGGTGAAAACAAGTGCTTTGAACTTGTTTAACAGTGTGAAGGTATAATGCGTAAATTATCAGCTCCAAAGTGTCTCGGTGGCTGAGGTGTACCCATCTAGATAGGCGCGAATTGAAGTAACAATCCCGTAACTACAACAAATGAAGTCTATCACTATTTCTGCGGTTTCGTTTGAACAAGCTGGGTAGAAATGATTCCCTTATGCTACTATTGAAACCGTTGTTTTGATTGCGTGGACATTAAAAGGTGTCGCAAGTAAGAGGCTTTTGGTTTTACGATTGGCAAATAAATGCTCTTATTTGACATATATTTGCAAATGAAGCTTTATTGGTAAAAGAATTACAGTAGCTTTCCAAGGCCACCCTGAAGGCAGACGAAGGTACAATGCTCGCGACGAGTGCGAATGTGATCAGTGCCCTGCCAAAGTTGCAATGGCGAAACCTTTAATTAATCGCTTGTACAACCGATTTCATCCCGATCGGCAACTGCTTAGAAATTTAATTCTGAGCCTTGGCTCACTTAAGTGATATTATGATGGTGATTGAAAGGCCCAGGATTGGGTCCATATTTACTTTTAGAGGATTGTGTTACGGCTCGTTGAAAGCCCTGAGGTGCACTTACGGGCGACGCACACGCATTCTTAAACTGTTGGCGCACGCTTTTAGCGGTGGTGTGGTGTGCCTGACAAGGCGCTTGACTGCCAAGAACCGCAGGCGCCAACAGACGTTTAGCATACTTGACTTCTCGATAGGCAGCGACAAACATGGAGTTCCTAAAGTGGGTAAGCTTTGGCACTCTTGCCACAGCCCTTGCTTTTCTCATATTCTACGTAGACACAGTTCGACATGGAACTGCACATAAATCATGGCATTAATGACTTTAGAGCCTTCAGCAGATCGGATGCGACCTGTTTGCTCTTTGTTTGCATCGGCAAACCTGTAACTTATTCGTGCAATTTTTTTCGCGCCTTTTTTCAACATCTGAGAGGATAAACTTTTGCAATGCTGTTGAACTTGATTTTACTCATCTGACCGAGCTCCTTTGTTCAATAAAGCCCTCCATGCTGTCCTGGTAGAGTTTATTTACAAACCCACAACGTTGTTTTAAAACCACTTTTGAAATTCACCCACTTTATTTGCCCTACTTAGAGCTGTAACTTTACATTTTATAAACAACAAATTTAATTGGAAATAAATATGGAACAAAAGGATTGAATAAGTTTAGAGTCTTCTACATTGGCACAAAGCAGGCGACGACCGTCAAGATATTCGCATCGTCACTTAAGCCGCATCAGTTTCAGCTCACGTAAGTGGACCTCAAGTAGCCTCGAGGCCTTCAGCCTTGTTATGCCACAACTGGTTGCAAGGAGAAGGATAAAGAGAAGCAGTGTTTTCCATGCTCACTCGCCTTTAACTTTAATAGTGAATTTTTACGCCAGTTAGGGTTTTTCATGTTCATTTATCTTCAAAAGAACAAGTAAATGAGGAGAAGGTCAAAATTATGGGAAATTTGTAACAAGATCACAGTATTCGCTTGTTTTATCTTCGATCTTTGTCGAGAGAAAACATCTCAAGACGCCCCTTGCTTTACCTTAATTGCTTCGCAATTTATTTGTGATCATCAGAAAAACATACAACTAATATCAAAGAGAACACAAACGAATCCATTTCGTAGGTTTTGAGCGATCTTAGATTCCACTTTCGCATTTTTGACAAAAATTGTCACTATGACCGCTACCTCTGTCAACCATACCTCGTAAACTGAGTGTTAATGCACTACCAGATTCATTGCTAGTAATACAATGGCCAGGATAAATTTTTTGAAGGTGGTCTTGCTAAAACCAGTTCGCCATTGTCATTTGTCCAGAATTTTACCCGCGAACTTACCCATCCGATGAGTTTTGAAGCAAACATCCGTGGCCACCATTACCACCAGTTGGCGCCCAAGTAACCGAACGAAATCTGTTGGTTATGTGTTGCGTGATGCACGAAGGATTTAAAACCGCCGAAAGAAGGCCTCCTAATTCATTTTTTTGTGAAAATTCTACTTCGGTTGCAACACTCATTCAATTGATAATGGGTGAAACCTCTTCCCCCAACCCATTGGTCATGCTACTAATTTTGATTTTATAGACCAACGAAGTTAAAGGAAATATGACAGCAAAGGAGCTCAAGTGGATTATGCTGATCCCCGTCGGCACTTATATTGTCTACAGGATAATCTACGAATGGCGTATTGAAAATCAGCTTCCTCCTGGTCCGACTGGTTGGCCGTGGTTAGGCTACACGGGGTGCCTAGGTGAGGTGCTAGTGCTATTGTCATTTGTAAACCATCTTGACCTCGGTGTACGAGCCCTGACTAGATCTTGTACTCAAGGCTATGGAACTCATCTTGAACTCGTGGAATGCGGTGGTCTTCAAAATACGATAATTTTAACCCAAACCATGATGAAACGAAAATCCCACTAAAATTTGGAGCCCATTATGAAAATTGTAAATTCAACCCCATTTAAGAGTCGGCTTAAAGCTGTTTTAGTTTTCCACTGCTAGGGCAGTGTTGACCTCACTCCCACGCTCGTTAATGCTCTTAACAAATGGTTGTAGGAGAAAACGCTTTCAAAAAGGTCCAACTATTATGCAAGAAATACGGCCCAGTGATCAGTTTCAGAATATGCGGGAAGCTGATAGTCATTCTTAGTGACGAAGAGACAATCAAGGAAGCCGCCCTTAAGCATCGGACGTTAATTGGGCGACATACAATGCTAACGAACCACCTCCTTGCAAAAGGATATGGTAGGATTTGACTTTCATTCTCATTTTGTTCAACATTTCTATGCTCCATAGTTTTGTGCTGCAATTTTATCGTTCATGTCAAGTGCTTTGCACAACTGGGGTTGAATGGGTTGAAAGGGCTTCTTTAGACGATTCCCTTCAAAAACTGTGCTTATCGTACTATGGCTTTTTTAAATACACGAAATTGATTTTCTTCATGATCGCAGTTATGACGGCGCGAAAAAAATAACCATCAAAATTGAATACTTATAAGCGGCTATTCGCTCATTTATCATTTCGCCCTTGCTAGGAATATTTCCATGAGATAAACCAAGTGAATAGTGTTATTTAATTTACTGAAACAGCAGAAGTTAGGAGCAATGCAAAATGAGCCCTCTTTAATGACAAAGAATTTTGGCTACTGAAGAGTGATACAAAAGGTGTGACCGTGTATGTCTACAGGCATGTCCAATTACGATGGCGCGAACGCCAATTTCTTGAGACGCACCTTTGTTGGGGCCATTCACCGCATTGTACCCAATAAGACTGCCAATATCAAAAGTGGACTTGAATTGCCCTCGTGCGATCTACCCATCACTCAGGATGAATGCCAGAATATGTCGAGTGTTGACGATAAACTTGACACTGAGTGCCTCAAACTGATTAACTTCTTAAGACGGAAGGGTGGTGAACCTGTAAAAATAAGGCAAGTGCACGAATTCCTTTGCGTCAACTTCTTTAATGCGGTGAGCACCGCAGCGTCTGGCTGAACATACATGTTTTAGATGTCTGCTGAAAAACTTGGATGATTGCTTAAATGAACGTAATTTACGCATTCATGTTCAAAGTAGCTGTTTTAAGAGATTCCCTGCATTAGTGTCTCCTGAGTCAATCCTTTCGTGCTATTGTCGGATAAAAACGCTAACTGGAATTCCCTCAGAGCTTCTTTACGTCAAAAGTAAATTTTACTACTTTGACTTACATGAGTGCATTGCGTGACAACGTACTAATGGTTTAATGGAGATGATCAACTTCAAAATAGCATTGGAGGAATTTCACCGACCCGCAATACTTAGAAACTGGAGGACTACTGGGCTCGATGTTTATCTTTTGTTTCAGTACATGATGCTATTGGGATACATCTCCCAACTGGGACTTGAATTGCACGCCTAGATTACCATGAAAATAGAAACATAACATCTAAATATCTTTAAAATTAAAAGCCGCAGGCTTGGTTTCCCTTTGTGGGGTCAGCTCTATAAAGGCAAAAGTATTAAATTCTAACTTGTCATCGCAGCCTTGTTTCGTGAATCACAAGACCGTGTGCACAATAAATGAAATTTGTCTATTTCATTTTGCTAGAATTTCGAACAGTGCAGTGTCTATTTGTAGTACTCTTATTTTATAATTAGAAGAAAGTAGGTGAGACATCTAAAACAAATGCTAACTAGCACATGATAGACTTTTTGTTTTGGAATCTGGCTTTCATGTTAAGTGACTTGTTTTCAATAGTCGCATCCTAAGACATTTGGTGTGGCATGTGGTCTGGAAGGCCGCATTCGGGACGGATTGCACCCTAGATGACGCCACGGTTACCGAGCTGCTTCAGTGTGTGGCGGAAAATAACTCGAAAAACGGGCCGTTTCAATTTAAACAGATGCTGCCGAACTTCTGGTAAGCTCATTCGAATCAGTACATGCAACTACTTCAAAAGTATTAATGCGCGAGGCGTATGTATGACGCGGAAGCAAAATTAAGTTGTTAGGATTAAAGTTTGGGTGTTGATAATAAATTCTCGTTCGTTGAGTATGCTGCCTGGTCTAGAAGGCATACAAGTAAGAGATGTTGGTAGCATTTTTGTGGGACAATCAGTGTTCTTCTTAGCGTAAAAAAAAGCATGAAAAACGAGCGTATTCAAGAGTATAGGAAGTAGAATTCCATTCTCCCTTCTACTAGGGGTGTCGTCGGCACTCACGGTGGCGGTCAGATTAGTTAACACGTAACCTAGACAAGTGTAGTAAAATAAACATGAGGTGCAGTTCGACACGCCCTACTGTCAGGTAGCCCGGGTTATTCAGGACCTGCCAAGCGTTTCAGTGCAAAAGTTGAATGATTTTATGCCACTTATGCAACTAAATCTGATCCCTTTTGGTGTTGAATTTTGAAAGGAATGTCTAATCTAAACGCAAATGCGCATAGCGTCCCTTGACAGATGCGGCATTACACCGAAGAAGAAGGTTCATAAAATATAATGGGATTGTATTCTTCCGTTCACTTCCAAAAATCCTAATCCTTCATATACGAATTGCCTCTGAAACCCAATAGGCAGTTAAAAATTGGTTATAAGTTGAACAACTAGCTGTTTCTGGCGGCCCTAGTTTAAACTACAGTATAGTGTGCGGTTCGACAGCAAACCTGGTCGTTTAAAGTGTGTAATCATGTTGGGAACATAATTGGACTTTTACTTAACTTTGATAGCACTATTCTAAAAAAATGTCCTCAACAGGTCTGTACCGCTATTGCATTCAAAGATGGCTCGCAGAATACTTGGAGTGGAGGATATTTGGAATCGGTATGAAAGAGTTACATCTGTTCTCAACAAAGCCGTCGCAGAACATCGTTCGGGTCAAAGCCGAGCTAAATGTTGTCTTATCTCATCGTTCCTCGATGATGGCAAGGATACTACTTCGAGTAGGTTATGAAGTACCCATGTTAAATGATGCTAATGGTAAGGCCTTTATTTACCATTTGGGCAGATCAAATCGGAGTCTCCATCAGACTAACTTGTTCAATCTGTCCCCACTACCCATTAAAGAGCTTATTCGACAGAGGAGCTATCGAACATTGCCTAAATGCTTGCGGATGATGGCATCTGCGTTCGACTTGACCATTGTGACATTTTAAACACCTTTTAAAGTATAAATTTCTGGTTGACTTTTAGCGGCTCAATTTTTAAATGAGTCAGTAAGTCGATATTCCAGACCGTTAGCTGGATAAATTATCAAGTTGGTTTGAAAAAGTCAACCAAGGATTTTAATGCAACACATTTTCAGAGGCTGATACGAACCGATTAGCGTTTGAGGTTATGGCTGCGGGCGTGGATACAACGACCCTCACACTTGTGTGGAGCTGCTACGCTATTGCCACTGGAAAACTGGAATTACGTCCCATGGAGAGCTTTACGGAGTCTCACCTTGAAGTGGTGCACCGTCTGGCCAGCGTTGTACCCATGGCTCTGCCCCACTGTACTCATTTTGACAGTTATGTTGGTGGTTACCTCATTCCTAAGGGCAGCGTTATTTTCTTTAACCTCTTTGCCGTTCACCAGTCTCAAATGAGGAAGGTGATGCAGGCAAGCAACAAGGGTTGTCCATGCGATATAAACATTAGCGTGAAGCGCAAGAAGTATCTGTGCGAGTCAGCTATGCCATTCTCTGTTGGTAGGTATTTTGCTTCATTCTTGAAGATTTGATATTTTTGTTGGAGGGATGAGAGATAAGGAATAATGCTATCGTATTCACTTGAAAGTATGCCATTTATTCAGTGCGCTTTTCACATATCTAGAAAAGAGTACATATTGCTAAGTTAAGAAAAACATTCAAGTTAGTTAAAACAACAAACTAACTCCACATCTGGTGCTAGTTACGGAAACTATAGTTCCTGATGGGGCGTCTGTCAATCAGGTTCCCATTAATCCACGACCTTTATGTCTCCAAGTCGAGCTTCATTAGTCATAACGGTCTGAAAAATAGAATTAAATCTCCTCTATTGATATCCCGTTGGCTTTTACTGTCTTTGCCTTACCACACAGGTTCACGTGCTTGTCCTGGATTCATGTTTGCAACGCGTGTGATCACCCGAGTCATGAACTGCATCATCGCTAACTTTAAAATAGAGGAATGCAAAAATGAAATGGATGTAAAAGTTGACCAGCTATGTGGACTAACAAGACCACCTGTTTCGGAGACCTATCGCTTCGTTGCACTCAAATAGAAATTGTTGTTTTCCACAATAAAGGCACTTATTGGGTTAAACGAAGGGAATTTTCATAAAGCAAATTTGCTTATTTGAAAAACTCTTGACCTTAGATCACTCATTCAAAATTGATACTTTAACCTTTTGAGAAAGAAAAGTTGGGAGGTTAGTCTCATCGGTAGGCACCGAATTTCCTTTTGTAGTGCCTGTAGCGTCCTGAGACTACTCATAGGGTGAAAGAAGGCATTGAGTGAGGCTAGATACATGTATTCCTAAGGGAACAGAGCAAATGGTGGTAACGTCAACAAAGCGTTGCACTTCCCTCTCTCCTTTTGAGCGACGTCCTCAGAGCTCCACTTTGTACACCTCCCGCTTCAGCCATCACAACATCTTCGGTACTACATGAAAGCAGTCACGAGCCAACCGCGCCAGTCGACAGATAGCATGAGACCGAGGAACCGTACTTGGTCTCCTCGGCAGCTTCAAATGGATCTGGAGTTACGTTCGGTCTGACAACCAGATTCGGGGCCGCATGCATTTGCTGACCATCAATTGCTTCTAGGAATAGAAGGTGGAACTTTGGTGGTCTAAAACACATATGTTACAGGGAAAACGAGATGAGACACTGTCCCATATGCGAGGAGAACTGTGGTGTCATTCCCGACGGCTAAACACGGATTTTGTATGGGAAATTCCGAAACGAAACTTTTCTAGAAAGTACACGGCGGTGTCGCTTCAGTTGTTAATACCTTGTCTGTGGAACACGGGAATAAGGAGAAACCAAATGCAGACGTCAGTCCGAATCCTTTCGTTGTGAAGGATTCAGGGATTCTCCGTCAACAAGATAAATGCGCCTCCTTCAATTCACGTCCCCATTACGCCTGTATCTTCATCTACTGCACTTCGATAGTGCCAAACTTCCTTCTACGCATGGTTAGCTCATGATTGCTGGTGCACAACGCCAAAATGCGCCTATTGATCTTAGATTTCCTCACTAAAAGATAGAATTCCTTTGGAGCATTTGCATGTATTGAACCAGTGCATCATCCGATCGAACCGTTGCTCGTCGGCTTGTTCGTACTGTTCT